CGCCCCACCCCGGTAATTCACTTGCTCATTAAAGTCTGAGCAGCATGGCTCTAGAATCAGACTCTAAGTGACTTTTAAGATCTATACTGTAAATACAGGATTAGTTAATGAGTAAGACTTGGAAAAGGGAGAGTAAATGTAAGTGTAGGCAGGATTATAACTGGGACTCATGTGGTAGAAATCCACAAGGGCCTCAGATACGACGGCCTTCAGTAGAAATTCCAGCGCCAGTCCAGATCTCAAAGCGTTTCTTTTCACTATTGCACTGGATTTGATAGTTTTTGTTTGCTTGTGAATTATAGTTATAAAGGAAATTTAGAGTTATAGAGAAAAGGAGTGGGAGAGGAATAGTAAGACAGAAGACTTTTACAAAGCAGCTTTGGGAAGGAAGCTTACTTTGGTTCAAACTGTTTGTGGAATCACAGTGCGATGCTAGAAGTTGGCAGCAATAGTGCTGTCTCATAAAATCAGAAATCATTGACTATTTGGGTAAATACACCTCTTTGGAAGTTTATTGTATGCAAATGAAAGCACTGTCAGCATCAGGAATTTGCAGGAATTTGTCATGCTGATGTTCCAAGGAAGAGTGGTCTGAGCAAAAGATAAAAGGAAGTTAGTTACATACCATACTCACTTGACTATTTTGAGGTGAGTGACACTATTGATATGCTACTTAGAATGCTGTCTTCTTTGTTTTCTTGAACATAAACATGAAGGTTTTTATAGATGTACTTAGGAATTGAGGCCTCTGTTCTCTTGTAAGGCTTTAAGATTCTTAGTAGGAATTTCGTGCTGCAGAAAATTTGAAGCTTGGGATAGAATGCTGTTCTGTGCTACAAGCACCATTAATTCAGTTCAGTCACTCAGTCGTGTCCCACTCTTTGTGTCCTCGTGGACTGCAGCACCTCAGGCTTCCCTGTCCATCACCAACTCCCACAGCTTGCTCAGACTCATGTCCATTGAGTCGGTGATGTCATCCAGCCATCTTTTCCTCTGTCGTCCCCTTTTCCTCCTGCCTTCAATCTTTCCCAGCATCAGGGTCTTTTCAGATGAGTGATTTCTTCGCATCAGGTGGCCAAAGTATTGGAGTTTCAGCTTCAGCATCAGCCCTTCCAATGAAGGACCATTAATTAGGACTATAGATAAAGTTTCTGATCATCTGTAGGATCTGGGTAGAAGGCCTTATTTTCCAATGGTGGTTTTTGTGTGTGTTTATGAAAAAAGTTTTTCATCACTTCAAGCGTTTAACTATGAAAGTTACTAAGTTAACTACAAACACTTTAAATATCTATTCAGTAAGGTAGGTCTTCTAATAATGTTTATCGTGTGATTTAATGTTAATTTAAAAATAAAGTTTAGAGATTTCCTTGGTGGTCCGGTGGTTACGAATCTGCGTTCCAATGCAGGGGACACAGGTTTGATTGTTGGTCGGGGTACTGAGGTCCCACATACCATGGAGCAACTGAGCCCATGCATTGCAGCTGCTGAGCCTGCTTGCCACAACTAGAGTGTCTTTGTGCAGCCGTGAAAGAAGGGACACACAGCACAGCAAAGATCGGAGTGCAACAACTAAGACCCGATGCAGCCAAATAAATAAATAAAAAGAGTTTAGAATGACAGTACAGGGTCATTAGACTTATCACTGCTTCCATGATGTAATGTAATATATAAGCTGATCATAGTTTAGCTGAACATTCACCACTCCTCTGAAATCAGATTTTGACTTAGCAAGTAGACTTTTACCTCAATACTCCAAATAATAGTTGTAACCGAGGACATCAGAGCATCTTTCTATACCTTGCCTTTTCCTGAATAAACAGGTAGTAACTGAGGTGCCTCCCCTGTGGGTTCCAGCCCAGACCTCTCCTGTAAGTGTGGGGCTGGTCTTTTAACTCAAGCCAGGGAAAGCTTGGATATCCTCTCACCTGTTGCTGTTGAGAAGTGCTGTCACTTTGACCCTGAATGTGAGCCTATCTCAACTTGTATTAAGATTTTCTCTTGACCGTTTTCTACATTTCCCAGCCATTCAAACAGATCTTCTCTATCACTTACAAACCAGTGACATTTTATTCTAAAATCTAAGATGTTTCTGGACTCCAAGCCATTAAAAGTAAAATGCCATTGTCTCCCTACAAAGAGATGGTCTTTTCTACTTGAACGTATATCTAAATCTTTGCAGAAGACATGGTGAATGGGAATTTGGCCTTGGACCAATCATCCAGTGTCGTGGCATACTGTTCTGAGATGCCATCTACAGACATTAATTATCCAGTGTGGGTCCTCTAATAGCGCTTGACCTCCTCTTGGCTCTTTCAGTTGCTTTTTATTTTCCTTCCAGATTCTTAATTATTCCTCTTGGGGTGAGAGAAACTCAGAGGCAACTTTTCTGATTTTTATTTTCCCAAACAGTTAAATACAGAAACATGAGTCTTTCTTTCCTTTCTGTGGACATTTGGAGGACATGATCTTCTGCTCCATTTTAGTTTCAAAGAAATCCTCTCTACATGTTCCTACTTCTAGCACTGTGTAAATGGAAACAAGTTCTAAAAGAGTTGATGAGACTGAAAAGCAGCGAAAAGTACAGTCCTCTAAAGCATGAGCCCTGAAATCACTTTCTGTTTAGAGAAACTTCAGTTCCAGCGGCTGCTTTTCTGTCTCATCAGCTCCCTTGTCAATTATCCAGAGCAGTTGCTCAAAGCCTTTTATTTCTCTCATCAGTCTTCTTTCTCATTCCCTAATGCTTGGAAGATAATCTTGCATTCTACCCCAAAACAGAACAATGGATCTGAACACCCTCAAATTCCCTTTTCCCCCCTAGCCTTAAACCAATATGCATATCCATCCTTATTTCCTTCCTGTTTGCCAGGAAAGAAATGTCTTTGAAAGACCAGTCCCTTTAACAGTATTCCTAATCCTGACCCTTTCTACTCAAAGGATCTTGTTCCATCAGTTATCCCCATCCTCTTCTGTATCTTAAAGCTTGTCTCTCCTGGTTCCTTCCACTCTCCAGTGCCCAGTCCTCTCCCACCCTTTTCTTTCCCTCAGTGCTGCTCCTTTTCAGCTCAGAATGTTCGGAAAGAGTCATCGGTAGTCACTGGTTCTATGTATGCAACTCCCGTTCTTTGCAAGTCCAGTTCCATTGTTCCTTCATTTTATTCCTTCTCCGAAACTGTTCTTGTCTAGATCTCCAGTGATTGCCCCATTGCCAGTAGAAGCAGTCCCGTTTCTACCTTTGCTCTGCCTTTCAGAGACAGTAGTCATTCTTACTCCTTCACTCAGAGGAAAGTGCTAAGGAATTTTCATTTGTATGCTCAGAGTTCAGGTGTGTGAGTTTGACACTGTGAGGCCTCCTCTTGTTGTGGTATGTACTTTCCGATTAAAAGAGACTTTATCACTTGGAATAGCTGAGGTCTCCAGTCAGTATGGTGGTGGTTACTATTCTCATGGTTCTAATTGCCAAATTTGTGGTAACTCTTACAGAACCACGTGTTTCTCGCTTCCTCCCTCCCGTTTATTGTTATTAAACAGAAGTAAAACAATTTATTAAAACTAGTTTAAAAATAGGGCCTTACTTTGTGCATAAATCCTATTACCCAGCTTGCTCAGTTTTTGCTCACTGACCTTGGACTTTGAACATCATTTTCAAAAAGGTTTGCCTCTATGGATGTTGAAGTAACCATACCAAGGGATGAGGCAACTTCCAGGGTCTGAATGGGTCCTGAAACATGAGAGGTGCTCAGTATGTACTCACTGAAACATTAATTCCATGAGCAGCCCTGAGATATGCTGTTCCAACCAGAGAGCTGGAAACATAACCCATCTTCTATCCCGGTTGGTTGGTTTGAAAGGCTTAATTGTGAGCAAAATGCTTGCCATTGTAGTCCTTCCAAAACTTTAAAAAGCAGTTATTCTTTTCATATATTTCCTGAAGAGAGAAAAACAGTATGAATAGTTTAAAAGTCAAGTTGAATTCACTTGTTGTTCTTACAACCAGGAAAAAAATGGTCAGTTTCATTTTTCTGAATTAAAAATTCACATATTTAAATAGTTTGTACTGTGGCTCTCCTCTAAGCCCCTCTGCAGTGTTTCTAGAGATGAGAGTCTTCGCTTCTGGCTTATAGGGAAGACTGATGCCCTGAGCAAGTAGTCAGCCTGTGACCATTTGGTTTTAGAATCTAGTTCAAGAGAGCGTTGAGCTCCAAAATCACTGCAGAGGTGACTGCAGCCATGAAATTAAAAGACTGTTACTCCTTGGAAGGAAAGTTATGACCAACCTAGACAGCATATTAAAAGCAGAGGCATTACTTTGCCAACAAAGGTCCATCTAGTCAAGGCTATGGTTTTTCCAGTAGTCATGTATGGATATGAAAGTTGGACCATTAAGAAACCTGAGCACTGAAGAATTGATGTTTTTGAACTGTGGTGTTGGAGAAGACTCTTGAGAGTCCCTTGGACTGCACGGAGATCCAACCAGTCCATCCTAAAGGAGATCAGTCCTGGGTGTTCATTGGAAGGACTGATGTTGAAGCTCAAACTCCAATACTTTGGCCACGTGATGCAAAGAACTGACTCATTGGAAAAGACCTGGATACTGGGAAAGATTGAAGGCAGGAGAAGGGGACGACAGAGGATGAGACGGTTGGATGGCATCACCAACTCAATGGACATAAGTTTGAGTAAACTCTGGGAGTTGGTGATGGACAGGGAGGCCTGACATGCTGAGGTCCATGGGGTCTCAAAGAGTCAGACACGACTGAGCAACTGAACTGAACTCAGGAGAGCGTAATGGTTTAGTTGGGTTGTAGAGTTGCTATTGAAGATCTGGCCATGACTCTCAGAGGCCAGGGGAAATGTGCTCTTGACCCTGTTTCTTAGTCTGACCTCTGCTCACTGCCAGTGTTGGTCTGTGTATTTAAGTTGTCTGTGCTAATGGAAAAACCGGGCTCGCTCTGTCTCTATTGGTGTCTGTAACGAATCATTTATTTCTCAACTCTTTATAGAGGGACCTGTCGGGGCATAAGAACATCGTGGGTTACATTGACTCCAGTATCAACAGTGTGAGTAGCGGTGATGTGTGGGAAGTTCTCATTCTGATGGACTTCTGCAGGGGTAAGTACATGAGCCAGACCGTACGCTCTGATTTCTCTAGGACTTTGATTGTCAAGGGTGTGAGGTCATTGCAGTTAATGGGAACTGTACTCTAATGTATGTTGTTCTGGTTTTAAAGATTGGTAAACAAAGAGGCTGAGGAGGTAAACACAGGAGGCTCTGTGACTTCTTGGTTATTCTTACAATGGCAGAGATCAGTGGCACAAACACTGGTGGATAATACAGAACTCTAATTTTGTTAGGTTTTGGAAGATTTGGTGCTTGTGTGTGAATGTGGATGTATGAGGATGAGAATGAATGTGTTCTTTGTGATGCTTTAAAACAAATGATGAAGGCACATAATAAAGACCCGACTCCAGATGGACTAAAGAAACAATTCAGCTTCCCTCACTTGTGTGTTCTCTTCTCCACCCACACCACCATCCTTGCATTGGGAGGGAAAGAATCCTTTTTGTCTAATGGAAATGACCCTCCTCTTCTTGCTCCAGTTGTGATTGCCAATAAGGCTCCATTCAAATCATGCTGCTGTTAACAGTAGTTAAGTAGTTGAAAGCTTAGCATTTTGAGCAGTATTTATCTTGGGAAACCCAGGCTGGAGCATGAATGTATTCAGAGTTGACTGTATTTCTTACAGCTGTTGTTCGGAGGTTCAGCTTTTTGGGTCTCAGCAGCTGCCACTTACATTCTTGGGTCACTGTTTCACTGTTTGGTGCCCAGTTTTGTAATCACCCTTGGTTCCACTAACATTTTCCTTGCCTTTCAAGACACTGTCCATAAATTAAATATGTTGTTAATCCTAAAAACATGATGCTAACCAGTAATTTCAGCTTTTACTATAACAGCTGTTACCCTGACTTTATGAAATAGTACCACGTTGTTTCCTCCTGCCCATTCCTTTTTGGACAGTTAAATGTTCACAGATGAGGCAGTAGGAGAATCCAGGGAGCTGGGTAATTTTCTAAGCGAGGTCATCAGTCTTTCAGCCCTAGGGATTAAGTGTTGATGTAGCATTTCTGCAGACCAGGCAGCAGGCAGTAAAGCCAGAGAGACCAAGCTGTTCTTAAAATACAGGCTATCAAACTGTCTTCTTCCTCCTCCTGGGGTCTGTTGTGCAATCTGATTCTTACTAAAAGATACAGCAAGTTGAACCTGTGGCCCCATCTGATGCACAACAGGGACAGTATAACCAGGCAACCAGAGCCAGGACCATGTTGTCAGTTCTGCTGCTAATCTTGAAGACAGAATGAGGGCAACTCACATCTGAGCTGCTTTATAAAATGAAGAAACTGTTTTGAAGCAGTAGGAAACAGGTCACAGGCTGGGAATCAAGATACTGGGGTTTAATCCTGGTCAGCCAGTAATTAGCCGAATCCAGGTTGCTCCTCTGTGGACAGCCATTCATTCTCTTGAATAAGTGAAGGAGCTGAATGTTTATTACCTTTCCTCTGCTCTGCACCCCTTTCAGGAGGCCAAGTGGTCAACCTGATGAACCAGCGCCTGCAAACAGGTTTTACAGAAAATGAAGTACTCCAGATATTTTGTGACACCTGTGAAGCTGTCGCCCGCCTGCATCAGTGCAAAACTCCTATTATCCACCGTGACCTGAAGGTAACAGATCATCCTGAAGCTTTCTTACGGGGTATTTTCTACCTGCTCCAGGAGTGGGGTAAATGTTATGGGGGTATGGGGAAAGCATCAGGCTTGGTACCAAATTATGAGTTTACATTCTGCTTGGGGAGAGAAAGCACAGAGAAAAAAATAAATAGCAGAACAGTACAGTATAATACAGCTTCCCAAGTGGTACTGGTGGTAAAGAACCCGCCTGCCAATGCAGGAGACATAAGAGATGCAAGTTGGATCCCTGGGTGGGGAAAATCCCCTGGAGGAGGACCTGGCAACCCACTTCAGTACTCTTGCCTAGAGAATCCCATGGACAGAGGAGCCTGAGGGGCTGTGGTCCATAGGGTGACAAAGAGTCAGACCCAACTAAAGCAGATTAGCATGCATGCTCATACAGTACAATACAGTATCAATTTTATTGTTAAGTAGCTTTCAGAAGTTCTTTATAATCATCAAATGCCTGAACACATCTTTGTTGTTTTTCCTAATAAACTCCCAAATTCACTTTTTTAGGGTCATGAAGAGTAATATGCTAATTTAAAGTTTGTAAACAGCAGTGTCTAGTCTTTAAAGTCTATTTTATATTTTGTAAAATCCATTAATTGATAATTTAAAAATTTTGTCCTGCTAATTACTGTTCCCTTGCACTGGACCTTTCAAACTGTAATCACTTGACAATGTTTGTTGAATGGAATTGGCACCTGGTTAGGATTCACTGGCATCTTTAGAACACTGACTATGTGCCATGTACTCTGTAAGACACTGTATGTGCACTGTCTCTTGGGTAAGAGACTTTCTTCTTTACATTTTATGGTCAGTGAAACTTAGGAGCAGAGAGGTTATGTGACTTAACTAAGGTCATATAACTAGGAAGGAACAGTACCAGAACTTGAATCCAGCTCTTCTAATTCTAAATTGCAATTTCTTTTGATTATACTTACGTTTCAAGAAACATGCTTCACGGCTAATATTTACATCAGCGTCCTCTACCATGCTTGTTAAATGCAGGCTGCTGGGTTCCTCACTGAATCTTTTGGGCCACAGTGTTTGTGTTGGTACCAGGGAAGCCTGGGAGTTTTTATCTTAGGCACCCCAGGTGGTTTTTGTCTATTTTAAAGTTTGAGGATCACAGTAGCATACTAGCTTTTCTGTTATGACGATGTTTTTTAGTTTGTTTTAATTAAGATATAGTTCACATACCATAAAATTTACTCCTTTAGAATGTACACGTTGGTGGGCTTTAATATATTTACAAGGGTGTGCAACCATTACCATTGTCTAATTCCAGAAAATTTCATCTCCCTTCACTACCACCCCAAAAGCTTCATCAAAAATTTCATCACCAAAAAATAAAAAAAATTTCATCACCACCACCCTCAAAAGCCTGTACCCATTAGGGGTCACTTCTCATTCTTCCCTTAGCCCTGCCAACCACCAGTCTACTTTCTGTTGGCTTATTCCAGACATTTCATCTAAATGGGCTTGTATGGTATGTGACCTCTTTCACAAGCAGTGTTTTCAAGGTTCATGTATATTGTAGCATATATCAGTACTGCATTCTTTTTGTGATAACGTCCCATTGTGCAGACATACCACATTTTGTTAATTACTCAGTTAGTGGACATCTGAATTGTTTCTGCTGTAGCTATTATGACTCAGGCTATTGTGAACATTCATGTACTAGGTTTCACATGAGTGCATAGTTTCAGTTCTCTTGGGTACACACCGTGGAGAGGAATTGCTGGGTCATATGGTTACTCTAACTTTTTGAGGAACTGCCAGCCTATTTTCCAAAGGAACTGCACTATTTTACATCTTGCCAGCAACTTACAAGGTTCCAGTTTCTTCACACTAACACATGTTTTTTTCCCCATTTTATTTTTCTGTCCTATTGAGTGCAAAGTCTCCAAATGCCTTAGACAGCCTTCTCCAGTGTACCTCTGCTCACAGACAGCCCCTTTTCTGAGCAGAACAAGTATACATCTGTGAATATTGTGAGCCTCACATCATACAAAACATAATTCTGTGCAGTTAGTGCAGATACAACATGGTCCCTATGCTCATGATGTATAAGTATTGGTGAGAGCATATAAGTGAAATATTTGAAACTGAAACTTAAAGAAATGAAATGCAAAACTCTATAGAACAAAGTGGTGAAGAGGCTCAAGTCTCTTAGTATGTGGTCGGATAATGGGATCTGGCAGTGGTGACTGGGATCTTCTGGAAAGGTTGAATTTTGAAGGACTGGTGAGATACGGGTGGTCACAGAGAGGCTGAAGAGTATTTCAGCTAGAGAGTAGGGCCTAAGGACTGCCGAGGGGAGGGAACAAGAAGGTGTTTGAAGATGAGGAGGTGGGTAAGGGCCTGGTACCTGGCTAGTTACAGAGCAGGCCAGAGTGACTGCAGGCCACTGCTCTAAGAATGTAATGACACTCCTTTTTTTTTTTTTTTAAATACACTTGATTTACAGTGTTGTGTTAGTTTCAGGTGATGACACTTTTTTCCTAGTTGTCTTAACATTGAGTGAAATTCTTGGGCCTCTTAGTGTATATTTCAAAATAAGCAATGGTACCAACATTTTAGGACCTGATCTTTGTCCCTGCCACATGTCTTGAAGAAGAGTTTGCGAGGGGCCAAGAAAAGGGTTGGAGAAGTGTGGCCTGGCTGTATCAGCACTGCTTCTGTGACCCGTATGAGCTCAGATCCCTCTGGAGTCCCATTCCACCCCTCCATGTCAGATGGGGTTCGATTTCACGTGAGAACTCTGGTTCTGTAGCCCTGTAACTGGTACCGACCGAGTTGTAAGCTCTGTGAGTGATGAGCATCCTTCATATTTCCAGATGTACAGGGCGTGTTTCCATCCCCGTCTTGCTCTCCTCCCTGTAGTCTTTGACTCCGTTGTGACTTTTCCCTGACCTCATGTTCTCCTGGACCCTCAGGCTCCTGGGTTGCTCCTCCCATCACTTGGCCTCAGAGCCTCAGCTTCCTCTGTCCAGCGGAGACAACAGCACCGGCCTTGTTAGGGCCCAGATGGGGCTACAGGAGAACATGCGAGTCAGTGAGCGGGCACATCCTTGGCTCAGAAAATTCTGAGCGGACACCTAGGAAGGTGAGAGCAAAGAAGAGGCCAAGAGGACCACAGAGCATTGTTTTAGAGAGTGCTGCTTGTACGTTTTTAAACGAAGTCTTCCTTCATTGTCAGTTTTTCAACATTTATTGGACTAAACAAGGCCTCAATGATCATCACTTCACACCCATAAATAGCACCTGGCCAATTTCCGGGTGGCCGGTATATGAGTGCCCCGTGGTGCTGCCTTGAGGTAGTGGAGAAGGTCGCCCATGATGGGAGCCTGAGGCAGAGTTCAGCATCCTGCCTGGCAACACGGTAGGTGGTTGGACTCAAGCAGCCAGAGCCCAGACTCTTCACTCGCTGTTCTGACAGCCTGTGAGATGTCTCACCAGGGGACGTGGGAGCACACTGGAATCTGAGGGTGAGGCCGGGCCATGAGTGAGTGGCTGCTTTACTCTTTTCCCAGCCTGCCTTAGGCCCTGGCCCTTGCCCCTCCATCACCCATCACTCGGGGCTAGGAACGCAGTAATTACGTTCAGTCAGTATTGAAGACCACCAAGTATGCCGCTGGTTTGCCACTTGTGGTTCAGGAGACTTTGTTTCCTCTTCTCCTTGACATTGGAAACAAAATGTACATAGGGGCCCCTGGAAGGACACCCTGTGATTGTTCTAGAGGAGTCCTGTTGCTGTTGATTTTAGTCATTGACTCCTGTGTTTTTGTTTTTTTTTTTTGATAATGCTTTCCCAAACTCCCCAAATCTAAGTGCCATCTAGATGCTTTTGCTGGCCTGTTAGATTCTGTTGATTTCTACTACTGTGTGCTTGGCGGGCAGTCACATCTGCCTGCTGCAGTGCCAGCTTGCTAGGCAGGAGTGAGAAGTCCCCTGGACCTCCTGTTGCCCTGGCTCTGTCATTGCGTCACAAGGCCTTGGCCAGTCTGCACTCCCTACCACGCAGTGTCCAGAGCCAAGAAGTTCTTTCTTCTCCTCTTGGTCGCAGAACGTGCCCGTGGCCAGTCTCTCGGTTGCTTCTGTGTGACCCGAGTTTCCACGTGATGAGGAGGCGCCCTTGGGAGTAAGTCCATGGGACGCAGGAAGGAGCACAGAGCAGGCCAGCTGACGACCCCCGTGTTGAGCCAGTGCCACCCTGTGGGGAACTGAGAAGGCCCCTCTTGCCCTGCCCACCACCTGTGTGGTCTTTCTTTCAAATTCCAGGATGAAAATAAGCTGACAGCAGCCCCTGTCCTTGAGCAGCGTGTGTTCTAAAAAATATCCGAAACAGAAGTTCTGGTCTTTGCTGAATGTTTCTCCTCAAATACATTATTTTACATTTTCATTATTTCCTCCCTGTTTTAAATTGTCTCTCTGAGGATTGATAGAGATCTTCATTGCAAATTATAGAATTGTGTTCCTGGGAAGGTCACGTAAGTCAGCGCTTTCCTTTTACCAACAGGGAATCCTCTGCTCAGAAAGGCTGTGACCTGCACAGCAAACTCATTGATCAGACCAGAACAAAGGCCAAGGTTTTTGATCCTCAAGGTGGTTTCTGTTTGTTTGGTTTTTGCTATATTTTACCATGCTGTTTGCCCAAGCATTTAAGAAAGGGGATAAAAGGGTTAGGCCTTAGTAAGTACATTCTAGGTTGAAAAAGTCTTGAATGTCTTCTCATCTGTCAGAAATGAGATTTTGGATCTCATGAAGTACAGTAGGATGAAGATTCTTGTCCTATTTTTGGAATCACAGGTTGGAAAACCAGCATTCACCGAGTGCTCCACAATTTCCAGTGGTAATAAACTCTGTGGCAGAAATGCCTGGATGCTGTTTTGTTTGGGATATCAAGATGAAGAGGTCAGGAGGAGGTGGCTTTCTAGATGTTTTATTTGAAGCTGTTAGCAGAGTTCAGGAGTGACAGCTTTAATAATCCTCTCAGGCTGATTGTGGAATAAGGTCAGTAGCTTAAACGCTCAACAAGCTTCTAGATGGGAGGTTGTGAGCAATGGTAACCAGCATTCACCTGACTTCCTAAAGGACATGGCCACAAACAAAGTCACCACGCAGGTTCTCTGAAGCTTCCAGACGCCGGTGTATGACCCTCCAGTTGGTTGTCGCCCTTCCTCACTGAATCCCTCTCGGCCCCGGTCATCTCACACTTGGACAGTCGTACCCGCCTTCATTGTCTCCCTTCTGTCATGTCAGTGCAGCCAGGGAGGGTGCAGTCCCTGCAGTGTGGCAGCCTGAGCCCAAGTGCCCTCGCAGCCTTGTGACCTCTGCCTACACTCCGTTCTCTCACGTGTCAGGCGGGACAGTGAGCCCTTGGAAGAGTGTCATGAAATACGTGGGGCAGCGTTGGGCCTCACGTAGTAAGTGCGGCTAGCTGCTGGCACCATTTTGTTACTCTCATCCCCCCATGCCTTCCTGTTCTTGGTTCCACTTAACCTGCGTCTTGTACTTTCTTCAAGGCCCAGCTTTATCTTGTCTCCTCATTCATGAGAGTGCTAGCCCATCGTATGTCCGGTTCCATGTTTTTAGTTTTCCAATCCCCAGGACAGTGCTGCCCCAGCCACAGAGGCCTGTCTCTGCTTCAGTCTCCTTCAGTCTCCCTACAGGTGCTCTCACCACTGCGCCTTCCTGCTGGCCGATCTCTAATGAGAATGCTCATCCCCCAGATTGTTCATGGTGGCTCCCCTCACCAGAGTGACCTTGCCTCCATGTGCTGTTTACAGAGGCATCCATCTTAACTGACATATATTTAAGCTGCTGAGGTTTTTTCCCACAATATTTATCAGTACCAGGCAATTATACTTTTTTTTTAAAATCATCAGCTGGACCCTAAGCTCCAGTCACAGCCTTATTTGCAGAATTTAGAAAAGTACTTGGCACCTAATAGGTGGTAGTAGGAATTCAAATGTATTTCTCTAATAAAGGAATGATCTTACATGTGCACAGGGAGACTTATAGTGTGCTTTCATGGTCATTCTCTTCCTTGTTTCATAAGAACAGTAATAGTATTATTACCAGCTTTACTTTACACATAAGAAACCTGCCCAAAGAGGTTTAAAGGTTTATTCAAGGCCAAACATCTGAAATAGTCCCCAAGGTCTTCTGAACCCCAAGTCCAATGTGGTTGCTGCACATTGTGCTCTGTGCTAAGTGTTTTGTTAGTGACGGTGCTGGCGATGATGGAGGGCAGCAGCCGCCTGCGCTTGAAGGTTGTCACTGGTGTCACAGGTCACAGAGACAGACGGCGAGGGGGCGGAGCTGTGGCTGCTGCCAGGCGATTTCACCTCTGTAGTAATCTCACCTGATCCTCCCCACAGAATTTCACGGTGGCCAAAGCAGGAGTTACTGTTCTCATCTGCATCGATAGTTCTTTGATATTTCTCAGGCTTTCACTCCATTGATATCTCTGGTTCTCTTGTCTGTTTTTGAACACACCCTTAATTTCTAACTGGTTTTCCTATGAATATAGTTCTGTACAGTGGCATCTTTGTGGGAGGGAGGGAGGCAGGGTGGGGACCAGGTTAAATGTAGCATAATTCCTGAGTTCCGTCAGTCAAACTAACCAGAAATACAAACCAGGTTTTTAAGGTCTGGGTAGAAAACAAAACAAAACCTCGTTGTGCATCCTCTTTATTCTGTCCATTGTCTACCCTCCCCAACACTGATTCTGGTTCTGGAATGCCCTTGTTTGTGTTTTGATATGAGTTGACTGTTCCGTTTTCTAGATTGTATATTCTAGGATTAGAAGTATAGCATTTGATTTGGGAAGGGACTACTCACATCCAGTAGGAGAAGCATGGTTTCATATGATCCCTGTAGGGTGGCAGAGGCCAGGAAGGAGGATTGTTGCCGGCAGACACTGAATAAAGGAGTTAGAGGTCCTTATGTGTGTAAAATATTGGGCTGGGTATTGTAAGGGACACATGGGCAGAATATAATTATAGACCAGAGGTGTCGATTTCTCTTCAAAGGGCCAAAGAATAAATTTTTAGGCTCGTCAGCTGTATAGGCTCTGTCTCAACTGCTTGACCCTGCTGTTGGAGCGCAAAAACAGCCATAGACAAGAGGCCAAGTAACCTATGGGCATGGCTTGGTTTGGCCAGGTCTCACTTTGTCAACCCTTTCTAGCGGTAAGTTCTGTAAATTTTTGTAGGGTGGCCAGGGAGTGTTTTCCTGAGGACTTTGACTTGAGCAAGGCCTTGAAGAATGGCTAGGAGTTGACTAGCAGAGAGGGAGCAATTGAATAAAAAGACAAACTAGTCATTGTAGGAAATGCTTAGGAAACATTGAGCAAATCAGCCTGACTATTGTTTGGACATTTGGTTCCTCATTGACTGGATTCCTATTATAGGGGCATTTCTGAACTTAAAGAATTAAGAAACCCCGTCCTTACGCTTGTATCCAGGACATTGGGTGAGCGTAGTCATCCCTACCAGGTAGGAGGGTGGAAATGAGGGGGCTTTGAGTAGTTATTCTGCCTCCTGCCCTGGCAGAAGGGCAATTACCTGTCCTTCTCTAGAGTTGGATTGCCTAGGTGCACTTCCTTGCTTAATCACTGTGAGCCTCATTTTCTCTGTCTGCATAATGGGGATTATTATTATATTGTTACGGTAAGGATTGAATGAGATAATCCATGTAAAGTGATGAGACAATCAGTAAATAGTAGCTATTCTTTTTAAAACCTCTAAATTCCATTGGAAATATTAGTGTTGCCTTGTTGGAATTATTTTAGATTCCTGAAGTGAGTATATGTTCAGGATAGCTTGACTGTTTCACTTTGTGTAAATAGATTAATCTGATGAGCATTATAAAAAGCTGTAGATGGTAGAAATATTTGCCTGATCCAGTCTTGTCTTTGGGGAACAAGTCTCTCCTAAGAATTCTTAACCACAAGAGCATATCCACCCAAGTTTATGGTCACAGTTCACACTGCTTGGGTGGCTAAAAACCCCAAGGTCAAAACTGTAGTGCCTACAATTTTGTGAAGTGATTGTAGGTTATTAGTTCCCTAGGTGCATAAGTATGTTATTCCTGGAGGAATAATAGACCTTAAACTCAGGCCTCTTAAGGCTTCCCACACATGAATTCCAAGGAACACGAATTAACAACAACAATGACAAAACCCCTCATAATAATATATCGTGAGTGATACTCAGCTGGAATAAGGAATAATAAACTGTAGAGTCAGTTTTCAAAGACTTTAGGTATTATATTTATAAAATGCAGACTATAAACATTTTTATAATATATAATCCTAGAAAAATTAAAAGAAAGTATAGAAACAAGAGACATCATAATTGACAAGATATTTTTAAAAGAACTACTAGTAGTAGGGTCCTGGGTATTTGGTGGCTTCTGTCTTATTTCCGATAGCCTCTCTCTGTCTCTCTCTCTCTCACACACACACATACACACAAACACACACACACACAGTGTCATGTATATTTCCCCTTTTCAGTTGATTCCATTCAACAAACATTTTCTATTCCAAGCACTGTTAGGCATTGGTAGAGAAGATGACAAGTCTCTTTGCTTGTTCTTAAGGAGCTTCTAGTCTACTCTTACCTTTGTTTTCCAAAGGCGATCAGTCTTCGGAAGGCTGAAGACAAAAGATAATTTATTGACATAACAAGATTTTTTTGGCTACCATTTTACTGCCCACACATAGCCAGGTCTGTCCTCCAGCACACCAGTCAGCTCAATTCACCTCTGCCAAAAACTAATGCATCTTGAGTACAGTAGTGCCCATGTTTTGGAGTTGTTATATCTTTGGTAGACTCCTTTGACACCAAGAATTTCTCTAGATTCTGGTCTTTGGAAGCTCACTCCTACCCAGAACTCCTAACTCACTGCCCAGAGAATACACCTACAAAAATAGAAGGATGGTACTTTGAGAACTGTGCATTTGCCCACAGGTCTTTAATCACTTTGAGAAATAACTAAAATATAGGAAATATTTATTAGTTCAGAAAATCCTAACCTACCATGGTAAAGAAACTGATATGTATGTTTAGAAGGTCTAAATGAAATCACTGATACCAGGAAGAACCAAGTACTGAAGGAATGTAGGGAAAGGCTGACATTTTTCTGATGACGGCTTCAAGGAAGAAATGGCATTTGAACTAGAGTGGTTCAGACAGTAAACAATCTGTCTGCAATGTGGGAGACCCAGGTTCAATCCCTGGGTTGGGAAGATCCCCTGGAGAAGGGGATTGCTACCCACTCCCATATTCTTGCCTGGAGAATCCCATGGACAGAGGAGCTTGGTGGGCTTTTAATCAATGGGGTCGCAGAGTCAATCACGACTGAGCTACTAACAGTTTCCCTTTCACTTTTGAAAGATGAATGGGATTTTGATAGTTGGGTAAGGAGCTGGTAATCATCGGAAGCACTCTAGACTGAAAAAAAGGCAGGAGAAAAGATACAGTCTTGAAAGTACTGTAGGAGGACTGTTTCTACAAAGGTGAGAAGTATGGTTAGAAATCTAGACAAATGGAACTCTTTGCTTTCCCACTGTGGAATTTCCTCTTCAGCACTCTGCCTCCCACTCTGATTTTCCCCTGTTACTGTGCATCTTTTTATGTTTCACTTGGAATGACCCCTGTTGATATACTTGGAGGAGAATAACTTTCCTATGCACATTAATGAGATTATCAGAAATAAAACCTTTATGTGTAATGTACACCAAATTTTCAAACCAGTATTAAATGATATCTTGGAATGGGCGGTTGCACAATGTTTTTCAGGTTGAGAATATTCTCTTGCATGACCGAGGCCACTATGTCCTGTGTGACTTTGGAAGTGCTACCAACAAATTCCAGAATCCACAGACGGAAGGAGTCAATGCAGTAGAAGATGAGATTAAGAAGTAAGCTTTTCCTCCTTTCTCGGAGTTTTATCCATTATCGGATCATTATCTATATGATTGAGAGGGTCAGGGTGAAAAGACAGTGGTGCCAGTCAGTTGCTCCTCATCTCAGAACATCAAATTGGTGGTTGGGTTGTTTGATTTTTAGGTGGAGGATAGGGAGGGGATTCACAATCATTGATCAGTGGAGTAAAACGAAGGAATTTTATAGCACTTTATCAATGGTCCTATGGTACATAGATCTTTTTATTTTCATCCCAGACCCCTTAAAAAGGTGCACACACCATGGAAGTACGTGATGTCTTTCAGTGGGATCACAGCAGCTGTGATATTACCAGTCAGTTGGTTGTGCTTTTTACTGAACCCTAAATTGGTGTTTATTTCTTCCTGCTCATAAGGAGCTAACCTGCAATTTAGTGGAATTAATGGTGAGTAGGGCTATTAAAGTCTCTACAGACATTGAATCACTGACTTCCATGAGAAACAGCTTCTTTAAATTTGTTACTCCAGTAAGAACTTGGGCCGTTTTCCCCTGTTGTCCAGAGTGTTCGATTTTTCCGAGGCAGCAGCACTGACTATTACTGCTAACAAATCAGCAGTGTAGAGTGCGCCGGTATCCTGATCCTTTCCTGCTTCACCTTTGGCAACCCAGCCTGGGGCAGGAGGACTTCTGGTCCAAGGTCCTGATGGGCATCTAAGCCACAGAGCCCTCTCGGCTCGAGGCTCAAGCAGCACAAATTGCAGGCTTGTTATTACTAACTCTCACTTTGAAGATAAACTTCCACTTCTCTTTTCTTGAGCCAGAGAAGAGAGAAAAGCTATTCTCTCAGCCCTATTCCATCAGCAAAGATCCATCCACCTCCGGGCCCACTTCCTGCCTAGCCAGGGCCCATTTTCTATCCTGAGTGTCCCAGCCAGTGTCACATCTCTGTGTCGAGTCGCATCTAAGGAGATTACTGTGTATTTTAAAAAACAAACCAGCCAAATATAGTGTCAGACAATAAGGATTTATAGGAGACAGTTTTGTTATTTAGGGACCCATGGAAAGTTGCTTTTAGGGTTTACTTAAAGCCTTAGTGTCTGCATCCACCTGTCTTAGAGAGGGAAGACGGCGGCCTGAGGGCGTGGTGTGTGCCAGGACAGCTCTTCATTCCACCTGCACTCAACGTCCCGTGCTCTCTTCTCCCGAGTGCTCCCAGGGAACTTGACTCTGCTAATACATATATTTTTTAAAAAGTATTCTGCTACCTCTGGTTTTAAATTATAGCACTGACATATTTAACAAAAAATTAATCTCTTGATTGTAGGTACACAACGCTGTCCTATCGCGCACCAGAGATGGTCAACCTGTACAGTGGCAAGGTCATCACTACAAAGGCAGACATTTGGGTAGGTGTCAACTAACCTATCCGCATCTCAGATGTCAGTAGTCTTGGCTGTAAACTCCCCAGCCTCATCCAGACAGTGCCGTAGCCAGAGTGGCCACTGTACCGCATCCCTGCCTACTTACCCCTCAGGGTTATTCTTGCCTCGAGGTGATCAGCCACTGCTTCTTGAAGCCTGTCAAAGACAATGACTTCAGACCTCTGGGAAAGTTATTCAGGTCACCTGCCCATTACTTAGGTGGTTTTCACATGTGTTACTAGTTCTCAAGGGCAGAACCAGCGGAATACTTGTTCTCTTTTGAAGCACAATTGGGTAATGATGGTAGAAATAATCTGACAGGTAAATAGTGATGTTGGATTCTAAATTCAAGTTTCGAATAGGTTAATAATGCCTAGTGTTTAGATCGGCTAGTAAATGTGGATGGTGCCAGTATCTCTCAGTAATCCCATTTTTAGTCATGGTAAATAAACCTCTAGTAGCACTCCGCTTCTCTTATTTTTCAGGCTCTGGGATGTTTGTTGTATAAATTATGTTACTTCACTTTGCCATTTGGGGAGAGTCAAGTGGCAATTTGTGATGGAAACTTCACAATTCCTGATAACTCTCGATATTCCCAAGACATGCACTGCCTAATTAGTAAGTATTTTAAGGTTCTGGTTTCATATTTTTACTTCTGATCTCTAGAAATGGAATGGAAGATAAAGGGGTTAGATTCCAGGAGTGATGAGTTGGATGGAAAAATAAAGAAATCAATTGATAATGGTTGGTTGCTCAAAGATCATGTAACGGTGTTGAGTTAGAGTTATGAATCTTTTTGCCACTTGGTTTCACACCTGGGCTGGCCACCCAAGCAGAAATCCTTACTGGGCTTTGAGCATTGCAAAACATGCTCTGCTCTCTTGGAGTCTGTATGAAAGCTCCGGTATCAAAGGAGTCCAGCTGACTCAGATCAAGTGATAAGAAATTCAGCTTTGCAAAACTGGAAGCAACTCAAATTAAAATGATGGCAATGCATTGGCTGAAGTGAATTCATAATTGAGACTATACCTCAGTGGAACTAGTTTTTTCCTCTCATTTAGGTTCATCACTGGATTCTGATAAGAAGCATTTAAACTCAGTGTTTTAAAAGATTTTAAGATTCTTCATTCTTTTGTATCTTCATAGTAAGCATATGAACTAATGTTCATTAATAAGATGGCAGAGTAAGTAATCTTTACTCAAACCCCTGTACTGGAATGCTGAAGTAACAGATTGTTATTATATTTTTACTTTGGTCAAGACGTTCAGTATCTATCTATATTTTAACAGTCACAGACTGTAAATCCTAAATGGGGATGCGCTGGAGAAAATAGACGAAGCCAGTGTGAGTGGAGCATCTGACATTTGTTGAAGGCCTACTTGTACCTCATTTAATTCTTAAAATCCTATATAGTAATAGTAATAGTAATAGTATAGCTATTATACAAACAAGGAAACAGCACCTCAACAAGTATAGGTATTGTACCCAAGTTAAGATAGTTTTAGCTTCTAAGTGACCACCTGTTCCATTATACCAGTTTTATCAATTAATCTCTTCTGTTTATTAATACAAGAGTAGGGCAATATTTGAAGAAATGGAGTATGGTATTTAATGGTTGTTGGATTGTTTTCAGGGGTAAAGCATTATATCTGTGCTAAAATGGCAGCTATATAAATGAGCTTGGAAAGAAATATGGGAAAATGGCGAAATTTGTTGCTAGAATGATAGTATTTTTTGATAATTTTTTTTTTTTTACTTCTGTGCAACAAATTTATATTAGGAAAAACAACTGTTTATGAATGTGTATACTATGGCATCTTTCCTACACTCTGATCTATTTCACTTTACAAACTTTTGGAAGAGTCCACTGTCACCCTAACTCATATGTCTAAAAGTACATTTCCATCATTCCCCATTCCATACCCTTTCATTTCCAGCACAAGTTTCCCCCTCTTTTCAGTTTCTGTCAGGGGTGTCACCATTCAAGCCTCGATGACTGAAATGTGACATTTTCTTTGGATCTGGCCAGCAAGAAAAAAAGAGAGTCATTCATTTCCTAAGTGGCACTCATGCTTTCTTTGAAGTTTCTCCTGTTTTCATGACATTCTCTCTGTTCTCATCACTGCCACCATAATACGTTCCAACCTTGTCAGCTCATGCGTGTACTGGTAAACTGGCTACCAGCCTCTCCCCTCCTCCCATCTGTCCAGTGCACCTCACTATGAGATTAATCTTATAAAATGTCACCCTATCACATCCCTATTCAGTAAACCTCATGCTTGCCAATGGTCCCACATATTCTGGTTGCATTCTCCCCACCTTATTTCCCTTTATTCTCTGACGAGGAAGCCTCTGCCCTGTCCTCTTGGCTCATCTATTCCTTGCAACAAAGCGTTCTCTTGCCTTTCTCCCAGTCCATTTTTGCTCAGACTGTTTTCTTACCTGGAATTCTTTTTTTCTGTGTTTCCCCTGACTCACTAAATTTTTTCCTGTCTTCAAGGACCAGCTCAGCTCCTGCCTCTTCTGCAGAGCCCTTCACCAGGACACAGCCTCATCAGTCTTTTCTCAACTTAGTGTCCAAACCACTCATTTGATTACTTAAGCAATGCATTGCCTTACATTGCTGTTTGTATGTGTGTGTGTGTTTATCTTCTCAATATTTTTTTTTTTTGCCCCGGGGATTTTTCCAGCTTCAGAAAGGGCAAAAGCTTAAAGGACTGGAGACAGACACGTGATCTATAGATCACGGTAAAAGTAGAGATGTATTGTTATCTTGCAATTTCTTTTAGATGGAAAACCAGCTAATACCTCCAACAAAAGAATAATAAGTAAACTCTTGAAATTTGAGTTTACGTTATAATTATTAAGAACAGTCATTTGTCTAGCTGACAGTATGAAAGGAGGCCAGAATTTCCTAGGAACCAGAAGATGAATGTATTAACTTCCACATTGAGAACTTGAGTCCCTGTTGTGCAGTGCACAGAACTTGAACTTAAAAGTATTTTTGTTACAATTCAAAAGCATTATTTTCTTGCGGATATTTAAAATTTTAGGAAAGTCAGCGCTTCCCTTTCTGAGAGGGGAGGCAGAGGGCTAATTGCCCTCTCTTACTTTTCTGAGAAGTAATTTTAAAACAACAGAATTTTGGTAATAGAGAAATTATGCCTCTTAGCTACTGTAATAACTCTTTGGGTATCATTAAACAAGTTCATGTATGTTTATCTTAGGGTATATGTTGGAACCAGACCCTGACAAAAGACCGGATATTTACCAGGTTTCCTACTTCTCATTTAAACTACTCAAGAAAGAATGCCCAATTCCAAATGTACAGGTATGTGAGAGGTACTTTTTAGGGGAAGTAAACATGATTGAATTGTCCTTTAGTGTTCCTGGGGTATTAGTCAGCTGTTTAAAATGAATGTAAGTGTTCCTTGCTTTAGTAAGGGGCATTCAAACAAAGCTAACTGTGAAGCAGTTGCTATCAATAGAATCCAATTTTCCCATAGAATTTAATTATAAAACTGAGGTAATTACACCTACATACACCCAAGCATCCTAGGAATTGAGTTGTACACTTTGGGTGAAGATTGACCAGCCTTAACGCGTCAGCAGTCACAGTTCCCTGAGTCACTGGCCTGTGTGTTTACCTAGAGGAGGTTAGGCAGGCTGCTTCCCAAAGGTAAGGCCCTGGACTTGCCCTGCGCTTGGTGCAACGTGAGCCCGTTGTCCCTTTCTCCTTCGTTGTAGCGGAGCTTTCCTGATTTTGCTTCTGTTGCTGACCGGTCTGTAACCTACACTCCTTTTCTTCTGCCCTCCCCACACACTTTGCGGCCCTCAGAAGGTTTTCTGCTCCTAGTCATCCTAAGCTGACACTCAGTTTTTTGAGTACAGTGCTTGCAGGCATGCTTTTGACAGACTTGGTATATTTTTCATGTCATAGTATGATCCAGCTTTCTTGAGTATTTTACTAATAGACACTGTAATAAATAATTTCTGCTTGGAAATTGTCTTACTAGTTTCTCCAGTGATGAACTTCTGATGTCACTACTGGGGTTTGAAGGTGCTGATAAATAACACTTGTCCTTCACTGCCACATTTGGAATCAGATGTGGGAATCATTCAGATGGAGCTCAGCATATTGGCTTCATTACTAATAAAACTGAATCAAAGAATGTTGCTTGACCAGTGAGCCTCCCTACCATTAGCTCTACATGATTGAGCAGTGTCCCCGATTCCTGAGGGACGTGTTCTTTCATGAGGGGGGGAGGGGAGGGTGGCCAGGCCAACTCCCTTTTCTCTCCCAGTCTTATCAATCAAATAAGCTACCCTTTCCCTTGGGAGAAGAATGTTTGAGGGGTGGGAGAGAAATGAGGAGAAATTTCCTAGCAGAATCACCCTCCCCCACACCTGAAAGCATGAATGAAATGGGGGTGCCTCCTTAAAGCTACTTTCATGACCGGTTTTCCATAGTTCAGGTTTCTCAGATTAAAGCAAGGGATACTGGGCACTAACCTAACACGATGTGGTGTCTTTCGCTGTCTCACTTTCTCACTCATGATGTTAAATAACGTGGATTAGAATTGCAAGCGTTCAGATTGGTAACTTGTTTTTAAAAAGTAAGTTTTGGGAAGTGGGCCAGAATAAGAGAAGGGAGTCAAAAGGGACAGACTTCCAGGTATAAAAGAAGTCAGTCCTGCGGATGTAATGTGTAGCATGGTGACTGTACTTACTTAATAATACTGTATTGCATTTGAAGGTTGCCGAGAGAGTTAATCTTAAAAGTTCTCATCACCAGAAAAAAGAATTGTATAACTACATGATAGATATTAACTAGACAAAGACTGTGGTGATCATTTTGCGATATTTGCAGATATCAAATCAATGATATTGTATACCTGAAACTAATAGAATGTATGTTAGTTACATCTCAATTTTTAAAAAAAATCTGTGATATCCTTTTAAAATTTTCTTTCAATTCTCTAGAACTCTCCCATTCCTACAAAGCTCCCTGAACCAGTGAAAGCCAGTGAGGCAGCTGCAAAGAAGACCCAGCCAAAGGCCAGGTAAGAAATGTCTGAGTGAGCAAGTATCCTACTCCTTGTTGCTCTAGTAGTAGGGGAGGGCGCCTCGTGTTTCACGATTCTTCCACTGCCATGGCCAGAGGCTGTACAGAAAGGGAAAGGAAGCTCTGTCTCCTGCTGGCAGAAACTGTTCTTTGGGACTGCCAGTTGGAATACAATAAAATACAGTGATCTACATCCGAAAGAGAATCGAGAGCCCTGTGGCTGCTCTCTTTGCTTGGGAATAGGTGCAGAGAATTCAGAACAGGGCAACAGCAGATCTTAAACATTGCTAGTACAAGACTGTCCTAAACTCCTGTCCTGGCCTTTGCGTAGCCTGGTCCACCACCTTAATCTCCAGGAATTCTTACTTTCTGTGGCTCCAGCGATACTGGGCAAAGACAGGTCAAAAGCATTTGAGTTGTGAAGAGCGAAAAGCCTGTGGATCTTAACTAATCCATATTCTAAGAAGCCTGCCAAGAGAAGAGTCAAGAAGCGAAGATTTTATTGGGGAAATGCCCCTGTGAGAGAAAATAGGGAGGGTGCCGAGGGCGCTGGGAGCGCCGTCAGAGAGCCTCCCAGCAGTGAGGGAGTGACCCAGAGATGGGGAGTTGAAGATTGGTTCGAAGTGACCTGGACTGCCTGCCCCACAACGTAAGGAAGGTGCGTCGTCGGGGAATCCTGTCCTGTAGGAATGGGCCTGCCTTAATAACCTTGTGGCTAGGACATGAAGGCTGAGAGCAGCCTCTGGGAAGCATGGCCTCAGAGCACACAGTGCAGTGGATTTCAGGAGCACTAGTGGCTTTTAGCTGCGGTACTTGGTCTTTTACACCCTGGTAGTCGAAGGTCTGCAAGGCGCATCCTCATGGCTGCCATGCCTTCTAAACGGCAGGTTCTCGTGGTGGTCTGGGAAAATGTTTATATCCCACTTTCCTACCACACTCCCATGGCAAGGCACCTTAGCACAAACAGTATCAACAAAGCACCCTGTTGGGACTTCCCTGGTGGCTCAGTGGTAAAGAATCTGCAGGAGACACGGGTTCGATCCCTGGTCTAGGAAGATTCCACATGCCTTGGAGCAACTAAGCCCATGCACCACAACTACTGAGCCTGTGCTCTTGGGCCCACAAGCCTCAACTACCAAAGCCCACATGCCCTAGAGCCCATGAACCGCAACAAGAGAAGCCAGTGCAATGAGAAGCCTTCGCTCCGCTATGAAGAGTAGCCCTCGCTCGCCGCAACTAGAGAAAGCCCAAGCAGCAGTGAAGACCCAGTACCGCCAGAAATAAATAAAATGATACAAAAACACACAAAGCACCCTAAGTGGGGATGCGTGAATTTTAAGAGAATAGTATGTTTTAAACTTCTATGTTTTAAAAAATTCTTTTTTTATAAATTCTTTATGTTTATAAAAAAACATTTATAAAATGCCTGGGGTTATTTCATATGTGGTTGTTAAATAATAAGACTGGTTTTTAACAAACTTAGCTAACTGCTTCCATGATGTTAGTTTGCAGTCTGTTTATATCTTAGTGAGTCTGCCGTGCTCACTTCTGGGAGTTGCTTTTGGGGCTGATTTTGGTCTTATGGTAATCTTGTACTCGACTCAGGTATGGTATGTACAGAGGCCACACAGAGATCCTTTCCCACTAAAGCATATACATTTGTAAGAATTCTATCACCCGCTGACGTTTGAGTGGTACTCTTGTGTAAAATGGAGAACATAATACCTACATCTTGAGGCAGACATGAACATCGAATCCACCTGTGACTGTCAAACTTTTATAAACTCCATGATGCCCAAACTATTAGTTTGTATGACCCCAGTAGTGCTGAAAGAATATGCAGATCTTACAGCCAAGAGATTTGGGTCTAAATTGCCCAAGATATAATTTGCTGTGATTTCATTTCCATGATCATATTCAGTCCCTAGTGCTGAGAGGTGGGATTTCTTTCAAACTTTATTTTTAAAGTAGCCCCTATTCATGGAGGCATCATATACACCAGATACCGTACTGGGTACTTTACATACATCAAGTGACCTTCTGCCCTTAAATCTGTGAGGTTGTTGCTGTTCTCACTTTACAAGTGAAGATATGGAAAGTGAGACTTGTACGTCAAGTGCCCAGGTCGTCAGTCAGTATGTGGTTAGTGAAAAACCCACAGCTCCAGCATCCTCACTCTCCTCTGCACACGCGGTGGTGTGCCCAGGATCACACAGGGCAGTGTAGAGCCAGATCTCCTGTCTTCAACACTGTATCTTCTTACAACATATTGAGGTCCATACAAACTGACATTTTGAGCACTCTTCAGTTTCTGGAATGGTTTTACAGTTGTTTATACGTTTGATGTTCACATCTGCCTCATAATGTAGATATTATTGTCTCCACTGTATGCCTGGAGGAGGAAATGGCAACCCAGTATTTTTGCCTGGAGTATCCCATGGAGAGAGGGACCTGGCAAGCTTCAGTCCATAGGGTCTCAAAGAGTCCGGCACAACTGAAGTAACAGCACACACACATACCCCCCACTGTATACATAAGGGACCCCAGGCTAAGAGTTTCAATGCCAAGCCTGTTATCACAGCTAGTTAGTGGGGAGCTCGGAGATACAGGTTTGATCCCTGAGTCAGAAAGATCCCCTGGAGAAGGAGGTAGCAACCTTCTCCAGCATTCTTGCATGGGAAAAAAAATCCTGTTGTCAGAGGAGCCTGGCGGGTTGCAAAGAGTTGGCGGCTGTGCACAAGCATGAGAGTTCAAGTCGAGTTTTCTCTGACAACAGATTCCATTGATTCTCAAGGTATTGCCCTTAGAAGACCAGTACAGAAGTTCTTGGCATTTGGTTTTCTACAGAAGCCTGCTTACCTCCCTCACCCTGGACTTGATCTTTCATACCCCTTTCTCCTCTTTCCCAACATCTATCCCGTTTTCCTCCCTGATTCCTTCCGCAGATCATAGCTTTCCCCAGTGTGGTAGCTTTTGTATTACCAGTTCTACCCCCGGCATGAGAGCAGGAAGCTAGTGAAAAGCCTCAGGGTCCAGAATGGCCCTGTCTTGGAGGTATGTCATGCGGAAGAAGCAGCTGCCTGGCTTCCTATTTTGAATTTTATGGAGGCTGTGCCAGACATATTTTGGAAATATTCAACGAAGCTTGTTCATTTTGGCCTTCATCTCAGCTATAACTCCCAGAAGTGTATTTTTAAAGAACAGTTGCATTGACCTGAGTTAGGTAGCACCCAGCTGCCTGCACTGCTCAGAATAAGGGGAAGCTACCACCTGGGCGGCAGCACTATTTCAGAGAGCAAGCTGACCACACTCTACTTATTTGGATTAGGTTTGGCAGTGAGTTCTGGAAAGTACAAATGACAGTGACTTATATAAGGTAGATTTTTCTTTTTTCTCTCTCTCTCTCTCAAGTAAGCAACATCTGGAGGCAAGTAGTCCAGGGCTGGTACAGAGTTCTGTTCGACAAAGCCCTTGGGTACCCAGGCTGCTTTAAGCTCATCACTCTACCATCCTTGTGGTTGTTGCCATGTTCTCGTGGACTGATATGGCAGTTGTGGCCATCCCTCTTCCAAGCAGTAGGATCAGGGAATAGCCAAAGAAGAACAGAGACAGTTCTCCAGAAAGTTCTCCATAACAATCTGTTTGTATCCCATTAGGGATATAAACAGAACTTAGATGCATGGCCATACCTGATTACATGTGAGACTGGGCAATGAGATTTTTACTCTGGGTGACCCTATGCCCAGCTAAAAATTGTTATTACTCTGAAAAAAAAAAAAAACAGTATGTGTATTGAAAGAAGTAGAGTTCCTGTCAGACTCCCCACACCCTTTATCTTGAGTTACTTACTTGTTCCTTCTAGTTGCCTTATTGGATTAACTCAGTTGATGCTTTTTATTGTTGAGAGACCATTTTGACAGCTAGTGCTAATCAATTTTGAGTCCCTCTGCATCTGAAAACCACCTGCTTTGAACCCCTTTTTGCATCATCACAAAGTATATTCTAGGAACTTCTGGTTAACTATTAGGCAAGATGGTCCCAAGATCAAAAAAGTTGGAGAAACACTGCATTCTATATAATGGTCTCTTTGAGGTTTTCTATGCACATTCACACATAAATGTTCTGCTAGTAAGAAATCTGCTCGATCAATATGTTAAAACTTATTTGCCCACTTTTTTTTTTTCCATAACACATAGTAACACATAACATCCTGTGAAATATCCTTTGGGAAATGTCAATTAAGTGAATCTGGGTGGTTTCGGTAAGTGTGGAGATGAAAGCTTATCCATTATATACACCATCTACCCCTTCTCCATTTCCCCATACTTTAACAAGAATCTTCCCCCCCCCCCCCACCGCCTTTTTTTTTCTAGACTGACAGATCCCATTCCCACTACCGAGACGTCAATTGCACCCCGCCAGAGGCCTAAAGCTGGGCAGACTCAGCCCAACCCAGGAATCCTCCCCATCCAGCCAGCCCTGACCCCTCGGAAGAGGGCCATGGTTCAGCCCCCACCTCAGGCCGCAGGTCAGTAACAAGATTGTTTGAAACGTGGTACACCTCTTTGTTATCCTGGACAGTAGAGAAGTCTTGGGAAACCTGGTTTTTCCTGGAATGAAATCTAGAGGCACATAAAGAATAATGGTTTTCCTTGGGACTTCCATGGTGGCTTAGACTGTAAAGAATCTGCCTGCAAAATGGGAGACCTGGGTTTGATCCCTGAGTTGGGAAAATCCCCTGGAGAAGGGAATGGCTACCCACTCCAGTATTCTTGCCTGAAGAATTCAATGGACAGAGGACCCCAGAGGGCTATAGTCCATGGGATCGCAAAGAGTTGGACACGACTGATCAACTAACACTTTTCACTTTGGGACTTTCCTGGTGGTCCACTGGTTAAGACTTCACCTTCCAATGTATGGAGTGCCGGTTTGATTCTTGGCCTGGGAGCTAAGATTCGTATGCCTTTCAGCCAAAAATCCAAAACATAAAACAGTAATAATATTATAACAAATTCAATAAAGACTTTAAAAATAGTTCACATCAAAAAAGAAATCTTTTTTTTTTTTAAAGAAAAGGAATAAAGGTTTTCTTTGAGGAACAGGAGGTGAGCTGCCATTGAAATTGTACATTAAGTGACCAGCCAAAGGGAAGGCTCTCACTGAATTCTGCAGTGGATCTCCAAGGCCACTGAAGCCTGTTGTCTCTACTTTTTCTAGTCTTGGCCCTTATTTTGTGGGATTGAGCCATCTTACATCTCCTGCATTGGCGGGTGGGTTCTTTACTACTTGCACCACTTGGGAAGCCCATGGTCCATTCATCCCATACCTACCTCTCTACTTCATGTACTTCATATTTAAAAAAAAATTTTTTTTTGACACAGACAAATGATTTCTTTAATGCTCTGTCTCCTGAGGTATCTCTCACCTCTTCATGTTTTGACATTCTGTTTCTAATGAGCTGACTGAGTTTATTTTTGTGAAGACGTTTGATCCAAATTATAAGTAACTGAACACAGCCATCACTCTTCAGGAAGCTGCTTTTGATGAATTTGGTGGGCATTTACTAATAATCAGACATCCAGACTGGGGTTGTGATACATGCATGTAAACCAGCAAAGAATGCTTTTGTCCTGCAGCAGGCTGACAAAGATTGTTTATGTACGGTAGCATCAAAGGCCAGTTGGATATGTAGATTTTCGGGGTGCTGACTAAAAGAGTGATTAAATGGGACAGCGAATAGGGAGGACTTTCTGGAGACAGGTCTTGAACCCTGCTAATGAACCGTGTTTTGAAAAATTTGAGGCACGTGGTTTGGCCAGAAGAAGAAAGAGACTTCCAGGTGCAAGAACAGTGAGGAGCCCGTGGGTCTTGGGATTATCTGTCCACGGATCACCCCCTCTTTATTGCTTTGGCAAGAGTTTCGAAGAGTTTTGAGCCCTTATATGGAGTTTATTCTCTTTGCAGTATCCAGCAATCAGCCTGGTCTTTTAGCCAGTGTTCCTCAACCAAAAACCCAGCCCCCACCCAGTCAACCCCTACCACAGTCTCAGCCCAAGCAGCCTCAGGCTCCGCCCACCTCACAGCAGCCGCCTTCCGCGCCGGCCCCGGCTGTGCCCGCCCAGGCCCAGGCCACGCCCCAGCACCAGCAGCAGCTTTTCCTCAAGCAGCAGCCTCCACAGACAGCGCCGCCGGCGGGGCAGCCAGCGGGCACGTTCTACCAGCAGCCGCAGCAGCAGGCCCAGGCTCCACAGGTAAGGTGGTGAATCTGACCCGCACTTTGATCTGCGACGAGGCCCACTAGGTGCAGGGGTCTTCCTTGAGAAGCCCTGGGAAGACAGCCATGGCACACCACTGTCACACACAGGTAGACACTGAAGCCTGGTTCAGTGGAGCCCTCACTGCAAGACTCGCACCTCTCCCCCTCTTCTTCTCAGGCCATGGGGAATTCTGCACCTCACTGAGGAACCTCAGCAAGAGCGCTGGTTTTTCAGGACTCTCTTTTGATTCTTTTTTCCTGACGGACACCATTCTCAAACTGAAACAAAAAACCAGCTATTTCTTATCATCCAGTAGTGTTTAATTCTTTCTGTGTCTTGATTTAAATTGGTTTGTATATTTTTTCACGTTTTTTAATAATATATTTTTATGTCCCCTTTTATCTATAGGTGCCTTTCTCCTCTTATTTTTCTTCCTTTGCCACTTTTTTTTTTTAAGAACCTGGGTCATTTGTCCTGTGTAAGTTCCCACATCCTGAATTTGGTCGATAGCATCCCCATGGTGCTGTTTAATATGTCCCACCACCCCCTGTGTAAACTGGTAATTTCTTGAGGCCTCTCAATATTTGCTTCAGGATGATAGTTCTTTGTTCTTCTGGTTACATCACATCAGGAGACATACAGTAGTCTCACCTTATCTGTGGGGGATATGTTCTAAGACCTGCAGTGAATGCTTAAAACCATAGCTAGTACCAGCCCAATATATAATATGTTTTTTCCTATACATACATACCTGTGACAACATTTAATTTATAAATTAGGCACAATAAGAGATTAACATAATAGCTAATAATAAAATATAGCAATTATAATATACTGTAATAAAAAGTATGTGAATGTAGTCTCAAAATATTCTTGCAACGTAAATTGCCTACTTGATGAGGTGAGGTAAGGTGAATGACATGGACTTTGTGACATAACTTTAGGCTACTATTGATCTTCTAACCATGGGTCAGAAGGAGGATCATATGCTTCCCGGGGATCCTGGATCATGGAGCCATGTTGATGGTTGGGTGTCGGGAGCAGATGATGTCAATGGTTGGAGATCCCAGGCAGGTGCAAGGGATGGTGCAAGGTTTCATCACGCTGCCCAGAACAGCATGCAATTTAAAACTTATGGATTGCTTATTTCTGGAATTTTCCATTTAATATTTTCATATCACTGATCACCATGGGTACCTGAAACTGTGGAAAGCAAAACTGCAGATAAAGTTTGGTTGTCCTCTATTTTATTAATATTAAGATCAATCAGTGTATTTGGTGTTGTCTTGTCTAATCTAATCACTTAATATTCGTCTTCAGTTTGTTTCCTAAGTCCCTTAATTCATTAGAGGTTATAATGTGCTGATACTGAAAGGTTGTTGCTGAATGATTAGACGCGGGATTCTTGGCCTCCGGAGGAGACGAATTCAATCCCGAGCCAGAGACGAGGCTGGATCGCTCAGAGCTTTTGTGTAATAAAGTTTTATTAAAGTATAAAGGAGATAGAGAAAGCTTCTGACATAGGCATCAGAAGGGGGCAAAAGAGTACCCCCCTCCTAGTCTTTAGCTGTTTGTTATATAGTCACTCACAGTCTGTTAATGAAAAGAAAGGAATGTCATAAAATTTAGAATGGCACCAGATAATTCATCCCTTGCCATAAAACGATTGACTTGAATCTTGTAGAAGGGCAGAATACCAACAAATAGTTTCGTTTACATAGATTAGGGGAACAATACCTGAGTAAAAGTAAGTTAGGCCATTTGGCAGAACCAACTTGAAGATAGAGTCTGGGGTTCATTAACATATCTTAAGACAACATTTCCATATGAAAAAGAAATGTATTGGTTAACTCAAGGTTTGAGAGTAGTTAGCTTCAGGTGAGACCAGGTGTCATGGCAACACAGCATTTTAAGAGAAACCTCCTTTTAAATTTGTATAGAGAAGGAAAGACAATATCGCTGGTTTGTTTCTTCCTGCCGCTTAAGAGAGATAAAAATGTCTGGCACCTGCAGCCTCTTTCCTCCATTTGGAGACCCCTGGCCTTCCTGCCCGTTACCCTCTCAGTACTCTAGCATTTTGTCTTCATTTAGGGGATGGAATTTTTCTGTAAAGAACGTTTTCATCAAGTATTTGATTATCCTGAGGTACTGTTTGTACAGAAAGGGCAGAAAAAAATGTATGACTCTTTCCCTGTGTTTACCAGTTTTCAGAATAATGAGTTTGTTCCTAGTACCATCCAAAGGTGAACAATGAAGATTTTGTTTTGTTCTTAGTATCACTATGAATTCATACATCTTAATATTGGGTTGGCCAAAAAGTTCATTCATATTTTTCTGTAGGATACTACAGGAAAACCCAAATGAACTATTTGGCCAACCCAATATATTTTATATGTTTCTGTATATTACTATTAAAAAAATTGTTCTAACTGTCCCAAGTTTGGCCAGTGAAAGTCCCTTCAAATTGGCTCCTGGGTCCTTTGGCTCTGACTCCAGTAAGCTTTAATGTGCCTTTGTTATTTGATGTAACAGGCTGTTCCATGGTCATTCTGCCCTTGATTTGGAGTCAGCCATTTCTCTAAAGAGCTGTTTCCCTTTCATGGAAATGGTATTTTGAGACCACAGTCTTGCTTCTAGGGCTTTATTGTTGTTGTTCAATCACTAAGTCATGTCTGGTCTTTGCAACTCCATGGACTGCAGCATGCCAGACTTCCCTGTTCTTCACTGTCTCCCAGAATTTGCTCAAACTCATGTCCATTGAGTCACTGATGCTATCTAACCATCTTCTCCTCTGTCATGCCCTTCTCCTTTTGCCTTCAATCTTTCCCAGCATCAGGGTCTTTTCCAGTGAGTCAACTTTTCACATAAGGTGGCCAAAATATTGGAGCTTCAGCCTTAGCATCAGTCCCTCCAATGAATATTCAGGGTTGATTTCCTTTAGGATTGACTGGTTTGATCTCCTTGCAGTTCAAAGGACTCTCAGGAATCTTCTCCAGCACCACAGTTTCAAAGCATCAGTTCTTTAGCACTCAACTTTCTTTATGGTCCAACTCTCTCATCCATACATGACTGCAGGAAAGACCATAGGTTTCACTATACAGATCTTTGTTGGCAAAGGGTCTCTGCTTTTTAATACACTGTTTAGGTTTGTCATAGCTTTTCTTCCAAGGAACAAATGTCTTTTAATTTCATGGCTGCAGTCACCATCTGCATTGATTTTGGAGCCCAAGAAAATAAAATCTGTCACTGCTTCCACTTTTTCCCCTGCTATTTCCCTTGCTAGGGATATCCATTTGCTAATAGGTTGGTTATTATTTTTAGACCTTTTCCATGAACAGTTAGGGCATGTATTTGGTTTTTTTCTTAATAAAATGTATATCATGAATTCAAATTTATATTTCTAAAGCAGATTTGTAATTACAGGATTTTTAACTTCTTGGATTTTATATTTGTATTTGTCTCATCTGGAAATCTTGATTCCTAACAACATTAACATAATTCTTAATTGATTTACATTTTCAAGATAATACCAATATGGTAACTGAAAACTACTTAATATTTCTTAACTGTTTTAGTTTCTAGAAGTTTGACTATTAATGTGACATACAAGTTTGTTTGCTTTGTTTTGCTTTTAGTTGTTGCTTTGTAATTTTGGTTTAATTTTGTTTTGTGAGAATTTAAAACATTTGCATAGTTTCAATCTAGAGTATTCTGTTCCTTCCATCCCCCATAGAGAGGTATCTGTCATTTCTCTTTACAACTTGAGAGTGTTCCTAAGGCAATCTAGCATAGTTTATCCAGTCACTCCCTGTTGACAGACATTTGGTTGTTTCTAGCATTTTGCTGTTGTAAGTAAACAGCTATTTATTGACATCTGCCTTTTTTGCTAACTCTTTAACTTCGCCCCAGTAGACAAATAGTATCTTCCCAGTTAATTTTATAACTAGCAATAGGGATTTCAAAAATAAGATCCTGATTTTTGTGCATCAGTAGGCCATTTTTTAAGCTGTGTTTTTGTGTCTGACACACAGTCCTTAGCAGTGGGGAGTAGAGAAGCATTCCTATCCTTCGGAAATTTACAAAAGAGTATAACTTGAAACCATGCTACCAGTATGAGACAAAATATCATTACGTAGTACAGTATACTGAGTGTTCTGAATGTTTAAAGGAGGAAGTTTAATGAAGAGAGCTATTGGGAAATAATTTTCAGAAAGGCTTGAGAGGACTTACTAGCTGGGCTGACATTTTAGGTTATTCTCTTCAGTGTCATCATTGCTTCGTCCAGTTCATGTAGGGAAGAATTTTAATCCTGGCTATTTCCAAATCCCTTTGTAAGAGGGATAACTTCTGTGAGTGGGAATTCATTTGTTAGCTTCTGTTACACTGCAGCATGTGGAGTCACAAGGTGTAAGTCAGATGGACGCCCTCAGGCCAGGCACAGAAACCCCTTGGAAGCCAGTCTGCAGTGCAGGAGGCAGGTAGTGCAGTGGTCGGAGCCTGGCAGCATAAGGTGGTGCTGTGTTTAAGCACAGTGCCCTGCAGTTCCCCTCATGAGTTTTCCGGCCAAGCCAAAAGACACCTGCCTACCCTTGCCTTTGCCTTCAGTGCTGGTCTTAGCTGTTATTGAGGCATTTTCATCCTTTGTGGAGTATGGCTCTGAAACAGGCTTTTACTCACCTCCTCCTTCCTGGCCCCCTTCCCCCTGCTCAGTTTCAGGCAGTACATCCGGCAGCCCAGCAACCAGTGATTGCTCAGTTCCCCGTGGTATCCCAAGGAAGCTCTCAACAGCAGCTGATACAGAACTTCTACCAGCAGCAGCAGCAGCAACAGCAGCTGGCCACAGCCCTGCATCAACAACAGTTACTGACTCAGCAGGCTGCCTTGCAGCAGAAGGCCACAGTGGCAGCCGTACCACAGCCCCAAGCACAGCCAGCCGCAGCAGCCCCGCCAGCCCCTGCCCAGGAGCCAGCGGTGAGAGTCAGCCAGAAGAGGAGCCCGCAGTGAGGGCTAGGGGGAGGGTGGGCAAGAGGCGGCAGCAGCTGGTGAGGGAGCTGCTGGACCAAGGCTTGGCTGCTCCCCCACCCTGGTGGTTAAAATATTTGATCTTTTCCCAATGTATCCAGGCAAAGGATGAAGTATTCGATAGAAGCTTAAGGTTTTAGAAAAATGATTCTAAGTTGCTCATGGAAAGTGAACTTGTTTACAAGACATAAATAAACTCACAGACATGGGAAACAAACTTATGGTTATCAAAGAGGAAAGGAGGGGAGAGGGATAAATTAGGAGTGTGGGACTAATAGAAGACAAACTTTCTCGTTTCTCACCCTAATATTAGACCAGCGGGAAGAGCTGTCCTTTGTGTCTACTGGTGCCAGTGTCGAGCAGTCAGAGACCAAAGTAGAATTAGAGCTAATCCCTTTCCTGTCTTCAGAGGGCAGTGTGACCACTGTGGCCTTGCCAGTCTCAGAAGGTTCATGTAGGCCCCCCACCTTACCCTGAGTTCTGACCGTGTTGTGCTTGTTCTTTGTCTTGAATGACATTACCGGCCACTTCATACGAGTATGCAGTACCTTCAAGAGCCTGCTTTCTGAGACCATTTGCTGTGGCTTAATGCCCCTCTGGGCACCAGAACATCTGACTATTATTTGAGCCATCTTGTCAGTTTAGAAATTGGGCATGTTCACTTCTAGATATTGGCTGAGTTTAGAATCAGGACCTCTACACGCTCTTCTGATTCACCTCCACGTGTTTATCCTCAGGCACATGATACTTTGGCCTTTAATGAGTGTCCTTAATTCTGTACTCACAGAGTGACGGTAATAGAAAACTTCATAGTGATGGTAAAGGGCATTTTATATCCCCAATTGATGGAGTATCACAGCTATTATCATTCCCGGGCAAGTCCAACCAACAGAGGAATGAGGAAAAGTAAGAAACTGTCTTTCTAAGGATTGATTTCTAATAGAGGTTTGTCACTGATCTTAAACCAGAAAACCTACATCCCTTCAAAAGGAAGCAGCGCCATAAATAGACTATCTTCTCTGAGTCTCAGCTCAGTGTCTTTACACCTGCATTTCTGAAATAGCTCGATCTTCCTGCGGGCATGTGGTAGACAACCATTCTCTGTATTTTTAACAAGTAACAGAGTTCCTCTTGCCGATGGGAAAAGAATTTTAAAAAAACTGTCGTATCATGTAGCTGAAATTTTGTCTCATCCAGTCCTCTAATGGAATTGGAAACTGAGGCCCAGGCTAGAATGGGGATCACCCGAGATGCACAGACCAACAGCAGCAGAGCTGGGGCAAGAATTGAAGAATCCTGATCTGTGTTCAAGGGTAACAGCTGGGCTCATCCAGGGTAATGGCAGTGCTGCCACTGACTGTCCACTTCTCTCGGGAACCCTCTCTGCTGACCCTGGACAGAATATCCACTTTCCTAGGAATGAACTGTGATCCTTCTCCATGTTTTCTGGATGAAAAAATACTTGAGCACTTTGTTCAGGGGAAGTTGGTTAAGAATACAGAGAGGGGACAAGAGCAGAACAGGCTTCAGCCAGGAGCCAGAGTTTCCCGGCCTTGACCCTCCCCTTTCTCCCATGACTTTGTAGGACTTACCTAGAGAAGCAAGTAAGTGAATGTAAATTGTACCGTGCAGCCCTTTCACAGCAGGGATGTGGCCATATCCCACAGGGGTTTACTGCAGTCTTAATGATCAACACAGGCATGGAAGCAGCATTCCACATTCCAACGACCTAACTATGCAGTCATAAAAGTCATGGTTATAAAAGTCTGTACAACAGTATGGAAATGCTCATGGGATAATGCTAAAGGAGAAATGAAATTACAGGAAGAGTTTGTCCTTGAAAAAGACATAAATATAAGATACCAAATATAAGGTAAGAACAATTGTACTAGAGTATTGGAGTGGAAGTTGAGGTGGTTTTTCTTCCCTTGTCTATATTCTTATATTTCTTAATGTGATTATACTTCTTTCATAGTTATGTATTTTGCTTTTTAAAAAATCTTTGGCAAGATAGACATCTTGAGTCTACCCTGCTTCTCTCCCCCTGTGTTATATGTCTCCCTTTTCCCCCTTCATAATCTCATTTTTGGATTAGGAAGCATCATTGTGCAAAAAAGAGAGTCCTGAGCATGGATTCTACCCTCAATTGACCCTGTGACCTTGAGCAAGCACTTAACCTCAGGGGTCTTTGGTCTTATAATTTCTAAAATGAGGGAGTTGGAATTCATGCTGTTTCAGATCCCTCTTGAGTCTTCAGTCTGAGATTCTGATTGGAAATAAAACTGCTAGACAAGGCTATTGTGGGATGTGGGTGGTTGGGTGGTAGCCACTTTGAATTGGTAGCTGTGATAGGATAAGGTGTCGTCATGACAGAAGCACATGTTCTCTAGTGTGCCGCATACAGAGATTAAGTGAGAAGAAAGGAAAATGTTCTCCCAGTAGTTTGGGCTCTTCAAAATAAAGGGCCTCAACAGTTGAGTACCCTTTTCAGAGTAATGAATGTCCTAAACTGGGGCTCTGGGCTTCTTCACAGAGCACTTTGCTTCTCCCTCAGAGATGCAGTAAGCTGCTTTACCGTCTGACCTTAATTTGGTCAATATTAAGACCTTATATAATTTCATTCATGCAGTTGGTGAGTGGTTGTGTACTCTTACATGCACACAGCTTGCCTCAGTAAAATGAAAGCCTGAGTCAGCATAAGGACAGAAACCCCCAGGCTATCAGCATCCTGACCCAAGTAGCTGGACACTAGTCTCTGGAATCTCTCCCAGGGCCAAGCTTTGGAGACATAGAATGTAGGAGCTGACCTGCAGCATGGAGGGACAGCTCCACTCTGAGATGAGAGACTGGAGGGAAGGGATAGTTCAACCCCTGAGGCATTGAATAGTCTTAAATTCCTTTATCTCTGGATTGACAGTTAAGGAAGAAAAGATTAGGTGTTCCTCTTTAACCTTTTTAATTTGATCATTTTCTTGACATGGAACTTTGTAGATTATGGCTTATGCTTAAAAACTCATCACATGGGAACAAGGATGTTCCCTCCAGTTTGTTTTTCTGTGGTGACGGTGCATCCTGCCTGCCTTCTTTTTTTAAGAAGGTCCACATCTCATATTATTAGGTCAGTCATTATCAAGGGCTTTTAAATTTTTTTCTTATTGTATCCTCTACCTTGTTCTTTGGTGCCATTTCCAAAATGAAGATTGTAACAGGTTAATCCAACTGCCTCCATGCTTACATTTTCTCAGAGGTCACTGCAGAAACAGAATCCTGCAAGACCCATCCTGTCAATGAAACAGAATGTTAACAGCAAAAGCAAAAAAGAACTGCCATCTCTTAATCACAGTGAAATTGTCTCACTTATTTCTAACTTGTAGTCTGTGTTCTGTCAGAAAGTCAGGGATCTCTTAGCAGAACTCATTCAGCCCAAACGTGTTTTAGCTGGAGGTGAGCCTTTGTTGGCTTGTGACTCTGGTAGTGGAATGCTTGAAGCCTACCCTTTGGAGGCATTCTGAACGAATTTTGAAAGCAGAAAGTGGTCCTTTAGGAAACTTTCTAGATCTTTAGACCTAGGAATGACTTCTGCAGCCTTTGAGTCTACTTGCATATGGTTACCTTGTTTATTATTGCTGATGAAAACTGAAATGTATATATAAACACCAGGTAAGTAACTCTGTTGGTATCAGGCTCAAGGCTGCATCTCAGATTGTCAAGGAAGCCTAGACAATCTGGGTGTTATTGAGAAACTGTGCCATTTGAGCCATATGTTAGCTCTCACATGGCATTTTTTTGTTAATACCTGTCTGCTTATTTGAATTTCCTCTCCTCCCCCACCCCTCCCCCGCTTTCTTGAACACTTTCATCTCTCTTCCTAGCAGATTCAGGCCCCAGTAAGACAACAGCCAAAGGTTCAGACAACCCCACCTCCTACCATCCAGGGGCAGAAACTCGGATCTCTCACTCCTCCATCATCCCCCAAGGCCCAGCGTGCTGGGCACAGGCGAATTCTCAGCGACGTGACCCACAGTGCAGTCTTTGGGGTCCCTGCCAGCAAATCAACCCAGCTGCTCCAAGCAGCTGCAGCTGAGGCCAGTCTCAATAAGTCCAAGTATGTGCTGCTGCTGGGGGCCAGGGCTGCTGGGGGGCCGTTGCTGTATAATTTTTGCTATGTACATAATTGTGTATAGATGTATGTATAGGGGTGTGTGTCTGGGTTTAATAAGAAACTGAATTTTCCTGTAGTGCATAGATCAGACTGATCTTAAAAAATAATTTTTTACTTGCCTCACTATTTCAGTCTCTCATCCATCCCATACTGTGTAGAGTGTTTTCTAAATTCTTGATCTGACCAAATCTCTCCGTGCGGATAACATTTCCTTGACTCCCCATTTTCTGTGGAATAATATCTGAACTGACTGATTAATAGGTCAAGGCCTATTGTGTCACACTGGTAAAACTGCCACTCTCCTTCTGCTCCACTTAGGAAATGCTTATTTGTTCATTAAGATCCACATACACAGTTATTTTTTCTTTGACCCTTCCTCTGGTATCATATATAATTTTGTCTGAACTCTCTTTGAGCATGTATCACACTGTATTATTTGTTTGTATGTCTAGCTGACCTGGCCTGTAGGTTTGTCCGTAACAAGCACCATGGTTTAACCAACCTTAGTAACTGGTGACCGGCTCTGTGCCTGACAGCAAGTAGATCACAATGAGTGTTTGTTGCGTAAATGTAGTGTCAAACCCTCGACTTTCTTGGAACCATGTACTAAAGTTAAAAATCTTTAAGTCATTAGCTAAATGCAAAGGGCATCAAGAGAGACTTTAGAAGAAATCAAGTAATGATACACAGGAGCCCAGGATGGTGGTAAATGTCTCTGTTGCTCTTTAACTGTGATGGTGTCCACTGATGCTGGACCCTGACAGATGTGAGGCAGCGGGAATAGGCCTCAGCCTCTCTGGGGCCAGTTGTGGGTAACCTCTCTGGGTTACAGTGGTGACCACAGGATGCACGAGCCCAGCAACAGGTTGGTCTAGGATCCTGAATGAAGGAACTCGCAAATGAGGCCAAAAATCTAATAAGCGAGAAGTTAAAGAAGTAATGAGAGATAGTGAATCACAAAAGAAAGAGAGATGTTTGTTTCACACAGTGGAAAGGGCCTCTGTGGAAACTTCCATTGCCTCAGGAAGACCTTTTAGAAAAATACTGTGGAAAATAATGGTTTGACTTAGAAAATAATTTGATCTTGAAACAAGAAGAATAGATTGACCCTTTTCAACCTTCATGTGTCTTTTTATTTCGTGGGGATGGGAACCTACCTAGGTCTGCAACCACCACTCCTTCAGGCTCCCCTCGGGCCTCCCAGCAAAATGTTTATAATCCTTCAGAAGGTTCTACGTGGAATCCCTTTGATGACGACAATTTCTCCAAACTCACAGCTGAAGAACTGCTAAACAAAGATTTTGCCAAGCTGGGGGAAGGTGAGTAATCAGTACCTTTTTGAGGATATTGAACCTTAATTCTAGAGGGGTATGCCTGTGAAAATGTAGGCTTGGACCCAAGACTTGACTTTGAAGTATGTGTGCAAATCAATTTATATTTTCACTAGAGCCCCATTGGCCTCAGGAAATCCTGGTCGTGTTGTGGGGGCAGCTGGGAGAGTCGGAAACATTTAGGACAGGTTTGGTAGCAGAGATCAGGATGATAGTGTCAAGTACATTTACTCTTTGGAGGTGTGTAATGGCACCTTGTCCTAAGTGGGTGTATTATCCCAGAGGATCATAACTGCTCACCCTGAGAGTGTGGCCTCACTGAATCTTTGTGATCAGAATTCTCTGCTCCTGTTGACTGACCATGGAGAGGAGATCAAATAAGTAGAAGATACTGTTTCCACCCTCAAATCCACCGGTTAATTTGAAAGGCAGGATGCCTACACACACACACACACACACACACACACACACACACACACCCCTTCAGAAAACAACAGTATATATCGGCTAATTTGAAAGGCAGGATGCCTATACATACATACACACACACACACACCCCTTCAGAAAACAACAGTATATACCAGCTAATTTGAAAGGCAGGATGCCTACACACACACACACACACACACACCCCTTCAGAAAACAACAGTATATACCAGCTAATTTGAAAGGCAGGATGCCTACACACACACACACACACACACACACCCCTTCAGAAAACAACAGTATATACCAGCTAATTTGAAAGGCAGGATGCCTACACACACACACACACACACACACACACCCCTTCAGAAAACAACAGTATATATCGGCTAATTTGAAAGGCAGGATGCCTATACATACACACACACACACACACACACACACACACACACACACCTTCAGAAAACAACAGTATATACCAGCTAATTTGAAAGGCAGGATGCCTACACACACACACACACACACACACACACACACACACACACACACCCCTTCAGAAAACAACAGTATATATCAGCTAATTTGAAAGGCAGGATGCCTATACACACACACACACTCACTCTCTCTCTCTTCAGAAAACAACAGTATATACCCTGGGAAAATTCTTCAATATGATACAGTTAAAAAAAAAGTACCTCAGTGTCAACAAAAGCACAGGCTAAAAGAATGATCAGAATGGAGTGAATGATAACAGCTTTGACCAAACATTTTAGTTTCATTATTTTATGGACATCTGGTGGCTCAATGGTAAAGAATCTGCCTGCCAGTGCAGGAGATGCAGGTTCGATCTCTGGGTTGGGAAGATTCCCTGGAGAAGGAAATGGCAACCCACTTCAGTATTCTTGCCTGGAAAATTCCATTGACAGAGGAGCCTGGTGAGCTACAGTCCATGAGGTTGAAAAGAGTTGAACATGACTTAGCAACTAAACAACAACAAAATCCAAATGCTTTCTTGCCCTTTTTTTTTTCAGTCTTCATAGTGAATAGGATTTAATTTCCTTTGACATTCATTGTCAATTTGTGCTATCATCATGCATACCAGTTATTGCTCTGGATTATAAACAGAAGCACCTTCACGGACTATTGAAAATTAGTATTTTGCACTCTATTAAGTGACGCCCTAGTTTTAAAATTCTTCTTTAAAATTTTGATAATTTCCTGTCACTCTTCTTGTTATTCAGCTGTTGGCTTTTACATTAAGCTGTTGTCGTTGTGCCCGTCCCTCATAACATCTCACCACTGCCATCTCTCTCCTCACTTGCTCTCCTAACTGCTTCTAATGTGGAAAACAGATCTTCACACTCATTAGAATTATGTAGAGATAAATGGACTCAGTGTGAAGGCTGGAGGCATTCTGCTGTGAGTAATATGCTCAAGCTTTAGGGCTTTAGACTTCTTTCTTTCCTCAGCTGTTTCTCAGTTACTGCAGTGGCTAGATAAAGACCTTTGAATAGCCAAGGTGTTGCCTTTATGCGGTAAAAACAGTCAAGAGTAGATGTCAGTTTGGAGGATGCCCTTCACCTCCTGCCTGGGTGTGCACTGTGGGATTCTCCTGGGATGAACTGAGTGGTGTTTTATCCCTCCAGGCAAATATCCTGAGAAACTTGGAGGCTCTGCTGAGAGTTTGATTCCAGGCTTTCAACCAACCCAAGGTGATGCTTTTGCTGCTTCCTCATTTTCTGCTGGAACTGGTTAGTATGGCAGACACCTGTAACTCAAGACTTCACTGTTGTCATCTTCCCACTACTGATATCCAGTCCACAGATGACCCTAGCATGCCAGCGAGCCCCAGATCCTGGGGCTAGCATATTTTCCATCACTTAAAAGATTTCCTTAAAAAAAAAAGGGGGGGAATTAAAAAATGATCTAAAGTTACTTTGAATTAGATTGTCAGAATGATCTGGCAGTAATATACAGGATTTGTTCTCTGAAGTCCATAGACATGTTCTTAAGCAAATATTTCTAAATTTCAGAAACATCACTCTGTTACTGTCTTGTAATTGCTTAGGTTCTTTGGAATGACTTGGAGGGTTCTAAGAATTGGATGTTCTATACTATATCTGATTCTGCTGCTGCTTGTTTTTGTGCATGTGTGTCTGTGTTTCTGGGGAGAGAGAGAGACCTTTTTAAATGAGACTTTTAAAAAATTCTAGAAGTAATAATAAAAACCTAATTTTCCCTTTTATTAATAAACAATATATTTTATTTAGTAATTTATAGGAAAACATAGAGAAGGTTAAAAGCCCCATGATCTCATCCCCAAGAAATTAACACAAGAAATACCATTTTGGATCCATTTTGATGTCTGTTAGCAGCATTTAACCCTTTTAGGGTCACAGAGATCTTTTGAGAATCTGAGGAAAGTTACGGAGCTGCTTCTTTATGAACACACAGGTGTCCACTATTCTGTACACACTTTTCACCCTCAGTTTATGACTCCAACATGCATTTTTATAGTCACATTTTAAAGCCTGGTTTTTACTTTAGAAATCTTTTAACTTGTCTACATAAAATTCCTTTATATGGGTATATCCTAGTATATTTAACCAAGTACCTCTTTTTTGAACATGAATTTTATGTCAACATTTTACTGTTACAAATTCCTCAGCAATGGATGTGAGGTTTTGACTATGTTCTTTGTATGGAATCTGATATCCTTCAGAATTGATCTTTTAAATTATATCGATTAATTACTGCTTTTAACTCTTTGTATTCCTTCTTCCTGCTTTCTTTATGTGTGTTAGAAGTTTTTCTAACTGCATAAATTCATTTCTTATTAGAACTTTGGCTGTCATTCGGTAATATTTAATATGTAATGCTCTCTTATTCTTGTTTTCTGGATGTTTTTAAATTTAAGTTTTGATTTCTTCACCCTAAAGTTACTTAAGATATATTTTAGTTGCATTGTGATAATATGGCCTCTGTAACTACAGAGGTAGTTCTTGCTATGGAGGAGCTTTCTGTTGTCCAGTTTGTTATTCGTTTTGTATACATTATATGGGAATTAGTTTTCCATGTTGATAAATGTTAATTTACTACATGATTTTTAATGGAAGAATAATAACATTGTATTTAACATCACTTTTGACGAACACTTGCTGCTGCTGCTGCTCAGTCACTTCAGTCGTGTCTGACTCTGTGCAACCCCATAGACGGCAGCCCAGCAGGCTCCTCTGTCCACAGGATTCTCCAGGCAAGAATACTGGAGTGGGTTGCCGTTTCCTTCTCCTGACGAATACTTAGGTTGTTATAAATTTTCACCACATAAACATGCCTGCAGCTAAGTTTTTATTTATATCCTTTATGATTTCCTTAAGATAACTTCTAGGAGATTATTTGCTAAATTAACAGATATATGTATTTAAGGCTTTATGGTACCTATTTCCAAATCAGTTTCCAAGAATGCTAATCAAATTTTATTTCAATTAACAATAGATGAGAGTAATTTTCACCTCATTTTGCCACCCAGACCAGCTTGGAGGTTTTAGATAGAAGACACTGTTTACTGGCCATTTCTATTACTTTTGAGATATGGGTTGTTCGTGTCCTTTTTTTTTTTATGGTTCTGTGTTTGTTTTGTTCTTATTAATATGTAAGAGCGCTTCATGTGTCATATATTGCAGGCATTGTGCCCACCAGTTTGTCATTTGTCCTTTATAAGTATTATCTCATCTGACCCTCTCAACAACCCTCTAAGGTTGCCATACCATTTGCATATCACTTATGGTTGAGGTGACTGAGTACAGACTAGTCTCTTTCCCAGAGTCACATAGCTAGTAAGTAGCAGAGTTAGGAGACTAACCATTTGGCTCTAGAACTTCCTCTCTCAGGTTTTCTGCCTCATAATAAGGCAAATTTAATAATATTTTCCTAGAAAATCATCTATAGTTTCAAAATTTTTTTTAATAAGATGGAGGAGTACATTGAAATATTTTGTAGTATTTTCTTGGCATACGTCAGTTTTATTGTGTGCGTTTGTGTTTCTCTTTTTCTTGGTAACTCTAACTAGAAACTTGCTGTTTTATTATCTTTCAAAGAGAACTCTATAGAACTGTTTTTCTGTCTTCTAATTCTTTGACTGTTGCTGTTATCTTTTTGATTACAGTTCCCTTTTTTAGGCTCACTTTGCTGATTTCAAAAAGAATACATAGTAAATTTTTTAATTCTTAAAAATAAAAAATTTTAGAGTTTTTCTCTCAATATAAGAGAGATTTTCAACCAGCCTGACTGTGGGGAGGGAGACTGTAATCTCCAGGAAGACTTTTTCACACATAATTTATTACTCCCTTGTCTCCTTGCTCCAGTTGCCCACCCTACCCCAACTTTTGAGGATTATACTATCGAGAGTGCTTTCTAATAGCTGTGTGTTTCCCTTATAAGAAAAAACTCTCAAGTTTTAACTGTATCTCATAAGTCTTCATATGATATTTTCAGTGTTAATATTTTGAAATAGGCATTGGAGTTATTCGGAAGGTGTACATTTCAAATATTAAATAGTTAAAACTTTTTGTGCATTATTTTTCATTTTTAGCTTTGTTGTCTGGTCTGTAGGATTTTTAAGTTTATTGGTATTTTGGTCTGGTTTAAAGTGCTCAAATTTGGATATTTAGTTTGACTATACCAAATGTCCTCTGCATATAAGTTAAATAAGCAGGGTGACAATATACAGCCTTGACATACTCCTTTTCCTATTTGGAACCAATCTGTTGTTCCATGTCCAGTTCTGACTGTTGCTTGCTGACCTGCATACAGGTTTCTCAAGAGACAGGTCAGGTGGTCTGGTATTCCCATCTTTTTAAGAATTTTCCACAGTTTATTGTGATCCACACAGTCAAAGGCTTTAGCATAGTCAATAAAACAGAAATAGATGTTTTTCTGGAACTCTCTTGCCTTTTCTATGATCCAGTGGATGTTGGCAATTTGATCTCTGGTTCCTCTGCCTTTTCTAAAACCAGCTTGACCATCTAGAAGTTCATGGTTCATGTATTGCTGAAGCCTGGCTTGGAGAATTTGGAGCATTACTTTACTAGCATGTGAGATGAGTGCCATTGTGGGGTAGTTTGAGCATTCTTTGGCATTGCCTTTCTTTGGGATTGGAATGAAAACTGACCTTTTCCAGTCCTGTGGCCACTACTGAGTTTTCCAAATTTGCTGGCATATTGAGTGCAGCACTTTCACAGTATCATCTTTCAGGATTTGAAATAGCTCAACTGGAATTCCTTCACCTCCACTAGCTGAGAAACGCTGGGCTGGAAGAAGCACAAGCTGGAATCAAGATTGCCAGGAGAAATGTCAGTAACCTCAGATATGCAGACGACACCACCCTTATGGTAGACAGTGAAGAGGAACTAAAAAGCCTCTTGATGAAAGTGAAAGAGGAGAGTGAAAAAGTTGGCTTAAAGCTCAACATTCAGAAAACTAAGATCATGGCATCTGATCCTATCACTTCATGGGAAATAGATGGGGAAACAGTGGAAACAGTGTCAGACTTTTATTTTTGGGGGCTCCAAAATCACGGCAGATGGTGATTACAGCCATGAAATTAAAAGACACTTACTCCTTGGAAGGAAAGTTCTGACCAACCTGGATAGCATATTAAAAAGCAGAAACATTACTTTGCCAACAAAGGTCTATCTAGTCAAGGCTATGGTTTTTTCTGAGTCACGTGTGGATGTGAGAGTTGGACGGTGAAGAAAACTGAGTACCGAATAATTGATGCTTTTGAACTGTGGTGCAGAAGACTCTTGAGAGTGGCTAGGACTGCAAAAAGATCCAACCAGTCCATCCTAAAGGAGATCAGTCCTGGGTGTTCATTGGAAGGACTAATGTTGAAGCTGAAACTCCAGTACTTTGGCCACCTCGTGCAAACAGTTGACTCACTGGAAAAGACCCTAATGCTGGGAAGGATTGGGGGCAGGAGGAGAAGGGACGACAGAGGATGAGATGGCTGGATGGCATCACAGACTCGATGGACATGGGTTTGGGTAGACTCCGGGAGTTGGTGATGGACAGGGAGGCCTGGTGTGCTGCGATTCATGGGGGTCACAAAGAGTCAGACGACTGAGCAACTGAACTGAACTGATACCAAGTGTATAAATCATTGGTCATTGTCCTTGAGATATAACATCACAGTGATGACCACTTATGGTGTGGGTAGGAAAAGAGGGTCGTGGAATAGCCCTCGGAGAGTCTTCTTTGTTGCTGAATCCCAGCATTTAGTACAGTGCTTGGCTCAGTACAGACTTGTTGGATGAAGGAAAGGAGTTGCTTCCTGCCAAAGGACAGGAGCTTGGATTCGTCAATGTTTTGACAAAGGTTCCTAATCATTTTCCATCCACTTCCAGTTTTAATGCCTAATTCTAACTTATTATATATCTTATGTTTTATTATTTATCTGTATGAACTGTTTTTTTTAAGAGTTTTTTTTGCTTTTGTGTCTTCTCCCCTTTATGCTTACTTTGAAGACTGTAAATGGCAGTTTTTTTAAAGGCCCAACAATTTAGAAAACAGATATTTGAGTAAAATTAGGGCAGTAATAACAGTGAACATATGTTGAATACATGCCACATGCTAAGCACACTAAGTGCTTTTATTCGCTTTCTCCCTAGTGATCCCTCACAAAAGCCCACAAGAGACTGAGTGACCTGCCCAAGATCCCAGGTGGAGAATGACAAGAGTAGAGATTTGTACCTGAGCAGCCCAGCACAGTAGCTGTAGTCATGAACACATCTCAGAAATCTTATAAATCAGTGACATTAAACTTTTGCAGACATTACAGAACATCTTTTTCCCTCAGTTTATGCAACATTTTTCTGTGAACATGGGGTGTTTTCTCTGTGTTCATATTTGTAGTTTGAATGAAGAAGAATCTTCATTATTTACAAATGAAAGAAAACTATGTCTAAGTCCCAGAAATGAGTATGTCTCCATTTGTATGAAGTTCAGGGTGGCAATATTTTCTGGAAGGTTTCTAATCAAGCTCAGGCGGTTCGCTGATTTTAAAACCTTCTATCCAGTCAAGGGAGGAGCTAAGCAGGAAATGCGGCAATACGAGTTGGTGAAGATGACACGGGTTATCATTTACATTTTTATGGTAAAAGCTGCAAAAATGTTAACTAAACTATGTCCATACATTAGAGGAGAAACGGTCAGATGATTAAAACTTGACATTGTACCTCTTTTTTAAAAATAGTTTTTGGTTGACTAACTATATACGTTCATTTGCTAAAACCCCAAAGAAGCAAGATTAAGAAACTCATAACCCCGCTCCAAGAGGAAAACATTGCTAATGTTTTACAGTATTTATGTCCATAGTTTTATTTCTGTATGCATACATTTTTTCAAAACGAGTTATGCTATATATATTTTTTCATAATTTATTTTTCTTTGAATATATTTCATTGTATCTCATTTTAAAATATTTCAAAGACTTAAAAGCTGTGGTTTTTACCCTTCTCTTCCTCCATCAACCTTTAACAAAGCTTAGTTAGAAGCCCACTTTATTGATTATTCTCAAAGTGACAGAATTAGATTAGGAGAAGAGTAAGGAGTGGGTGTGACTGTAGTGGAGTACAGGGAAGATTTTTGTTTGATAGAACCGTTGTGTATCATTGTTGTGGTACTTAGACTAATTTATACATAGAAGCAAATTGCAAGGAACTATATATATACACACATATACACACAAATGAATACATGTGAAAACTTGTATAAATGGGATAGAGGTTAGTCAACAGAATTGCACCAGTGTCAGTGATAATCAGCTTCAATGATAAGAACTCACCACTGGGGGAAGCTGGTTCACAGGGTTCTATGTACTGCAACTTCCTATGATTCTATAATTATTTGAAAATTAAACTTTTTTGTACATCTACTTTATAAAAGGCTAGATTAGATTTTAATTGAGAAACAAACTGATTAATAAAATGCAAGGTACAGCATGGTGAAGTAGGAACTAGGTGACCTGTGTTTTGATCATGGGTCTGCTGGTGGACCTCTGGTTAGTCTCTTAACTTCTGGGCTTCATTTTCTCTTCTGAAAAATAAGAAAATTGTGCTAGAAAATCTGAAGATCCCTTCAAGCTCTGGTATTCCTTAAGGTGTATAGATTTTTTGTAAATCTATAAGTTTGCCAAATACAGAGTGAATGCCAATAGTATGGTAGAGGTTGTCCAGAGGTTAGGGCTTGTCTAACCTTGCAACAGGCAAAAACTCTGTTTATGTCTCTCTGTTTGCCTAGGATTACATTAGACATTTAGTGATACAATAGGATTCAGTCCCTAAAGGACCTCAAGAGGGAAATGGGTACAAAGGAAGTACCTATACCCATATTCTAGATTACAAAATAGAGTTTGTTTACCTACCAAAATGTATGATAGGGCTAGTAATTGCTGTAGGAATTCTAAAAGAGATCACTCTGGACTGCAGTATCTAAGGAAGAAGAGAAATTTCAGATGTACAGCTATCCTAGTTTCATCATTAACTGCATCTCAGACTGTGCTGCGAGGACCAGAGTATATATCTCATACATATTTTGCTATTACATTGAATTGTATCCACTCATTTCTCTTTATTCTGCCTATAAATTTAGACTTTATAATTTGAGTTGGGTTAATAGATGGTAAATACATCTAGATTTACTTGATGTTTTCTGCTTTTCTCTTTTTTCCCTGTCTCCTTGACCGTTCCTTCCCCTCCAACCAACTCCAGCTGAAAAAAGGAAGGGTGGGCAGACTGTGGATTCTAGCCTTCCTCTTCTAAGTGTATCTGATCCTTTCATTCCTCTTCAAGTACCTGATGCACCAGGTAGGTAAATAAAACTGAAGTTAAGTTACATCGCAGGGCCTCTTGAGAGTTCTATTTTAAACACTGTGAGAACAACCTGCAGTCCAAGACCTAATAATAGGTACTGTTGCATATTTTTACTGTGTCTCAATAAAAGGGACAACATTCACTTGGAAGGTGCTTATCCTTAGCAAAGACAGTAAATTCAGCTCAAATTGTACCAAATTGTATTCCACATCACATCAGTGTTAAGTCTCATATCCTTGACTGTGTTAATGGTAATGTAAGGCGCCTGTGTATTGCAAAGAACTTTTAGTCCAGTGTGATAACAGTGTGTGTGGGGGGAACCTACAAGCACATGATAGAAGGAATAAAATCATAATAGTATAGTATACTAATTGGATTATGAGTGACTTCCTATTCCTGTTTTGTTCTAAAGTGCTTTATTTTTATAAGATAAAAATAAATAATAAAGTTTGATAGGGAATGTGAGTCAGGAGACCTAGGTTCCACTACTTTCCACTATCTGAACTTGACTTTTCATCATCAAGATAAGTAGTTCTAATCTCCCCTACAGTCTGCCGTATACTGATTTTTAAGTAAGCAGTCTAAAAAAGTAAGAAACAGTTAGCGTGGTCTGATTGAAACAGCTTTCGAAACAAAGCTTGGATGCTTTCCAGTTGGGATTCATGATGTCAAAGATTTCTCTCTGCTCCCCTCCTCATCCTCTTAGGGGAAGAGGAGCACGATGTGAGGGACAGAAGTTGCTGTTTCCTTCTTGATCAGTCCCTTTCGAAAAGCAAAGAGATCCAGCCCCTTAGAAATAACTGGCAGTCATTTTGCTGTTGATATTTTTTCTTTTTCCTCATTCTTATTCCTGTCGATTTCTTGAACTGAAAGAATCTGCTTGTTTTTTTCTTCTCTCCCAAAATGTCAGAGGAATTTATTTGATTGATGGCTTCACAATTGGAAGGGATTGTGATGTGGAAATCCTCTGTTTACAAAACAGACCCACAGCTAGGGTACCAAGACAGTTTTTATTTCTTTAGATAGTTTGTTTCCTCTTCTAAGAAGCAGCAGAAATTTGCCTTAATCAGGTAGTATTGTGTGTAACTGGCTGGACCTGGAGGTAGGTCAGAAATACTTAAAATCATTAAGGAATGACTCAGGTAGGATAGTTAAAGAAATGAGAAGATGTCAAATAGAGGTCCTTTTCTCTGTTGCATCTTTCAGGTATGCCTGGCAGGGCCTAGACAGGCTAGTTTCAAGATACCCCTTCAGGTTCATGCCTTGTTCTTACCCAGATAGCCCATGAGCTGCAGAAGCTGGAAGGGTGGCCTCTTGGCACAAGCCAGAGGATGAAAGCATAAATCATACATGTTACTCCTTTGAATTCTCAAATCACTAAGCAAAAAATCCAGGCTTCTTACCACACCCACAAGGCCCTGACGAATCTGGCCCTTGGCTGCCTCTCTGCCCTGAGCTCAGAGCATTCATCTCCTCAGTCTTTCCTTCAGTAAGCTGACCTGATTCCCACCCCAGGGCCTTTGCACTTTCTGGTACTCTGCCTGGAAAGGTTTTCCTTCTTGTCAGTCGACATTTGGGTCTTGAGCTTAAATGCTGTCTTCTCAGTGAGGCCCAATGTGGTCCTGTGGGCGCTGTCAGTCACACTCGCTGGCTTTATTCTTCATAGCACGTATCGTGACATTGTTGGTTTTTGCTTCTTCATTGCCTGTTGTTTGCTTGTTCAGTCCCCACCAGAATGTCAGGTCTGAGGGAGGGGCCTTGTCTATCTTATTTGCCAGTGTACTGCCAGTGTCGGGAATACTGCTGGGCATAGCTGGCACTCACTGAGTATTTGCAGATCAGATGAATAAATTAAATAAAACCTGAGGCTGAAAGGCTTTTGGCAGTCCCATTACTCTCCATTTCTGTCCCCAACCATCAAACCCCAGACTCCTAACTCCATAGCCTTCCATGTGTGACTCCGCCAACCTTGAGCCAGGCCTGCTACCCACTGTTTGAGGAGATATAAACAGCCCACAGCCCACATGTCAGGAAGCTGCCAAACCCCTGGATGAAAGTAGTAGCTAAGCTCAGCAAATCCTCAGTTCCCTCCTTTCATGCTGCTGTCTGGAATTTGGGCTGAGGATGGCATGTGACCATTGTGTCTCTGAATATTTCATTTACTTCAGTGCCCAGGCTGTGGCACATTCAGCATTCAGTTACAGCTCTTTATCCCCATATCCTTCCGCGGCATCTCGAAATACTCCACTGAGGAGAGGACTGAGAATTTAGGGTCTCTGGTCCCATGGCAGACTGCGGGTTTGTCTCCTGCCCCTCAAAGCAAGCAGTTGGTCACTCTCTCCACTCCATATTGGTTGGTTGGTTTTACATATGTGCTTTCCCCTCCCACACTCATCCTTCCTGGTGGTGAGTCATGGAACCTCAGTCTCCTGACAACTGTGTCTTTTGTGACTTCACATTTTATTTTATGCTCTTTAAATGTTTACACATATAATTTCCTTTGAGCCTACAGGTAATACAGACAGGTGGGTGTGTCATGTAGTCTTTTGCCTTGTGACTGAGGAAGGGAGGCCCTAATTCTGTGTGACTGAACTCCTTGCTCTTTAGTGGCCCACAGCCCAAGGCAGCTAATGGTCTCCTTTGCATCCATCCCAGATCAATCAGGCCTTTGACTTAAGAGCTCAACTTAAGGTTTAGGGAAATACAGTAACGGATTTGAACATGTAAGAGCTTGGTTCTAGCCACTTAGTAGGTAGGTGGTTTTGGTCAAATCACTCCAACCCTGTTCTTGCCTGAAAAATTCCATGGACCAAGGAGACTGGCAGGCTACTGTCCATGGGGTTGCACAGAGTTAGACATGACTGAGAAACTAACATTTCACATGGCATAATGCCTCATGGTTCATCCATATTGTAGCATATGTCAGAATTTCCTTTCTTCTTAAGACTGAATAATATTCTATTGTGTTTTGTTCATCCATCCGTCAGTTGACACATGGTTTGCTTCTCTCTTTTGGCTGTTGTGAACAATGCTTCGGGGAACATGACTGTGCAATATCTCTTAAAACTCAAGGTTCTTTGGGGTATGTACCCAAAAATAAAATTACTAGGATGTATGGTAAATCTGTTTTTAATTTTCTGAGGAACTGCCATACTGTTTTCCACACTGACTATACATCTTTACATTTCTGCCAGCAGTGCTCAGAGTTTGAGGAAAGGATTTTTATAGCAACCCCTTAATACTGAGCTTTCAACATCAGTGTTCCACAAGACTAAGCAAGAATGCATTAGTTGCCCCATGAGCGCTACTTCCTAGAATTAACGACTTAAAAAAAAATTACTTCTTGGCTTACAGCACTCTGTCTTCTTTTGACAAGCAGGCAAGAGAAGCTGCATTTCCTTAATGGTTTATTGTTAAGATTGGCATTCTTCTCAGAGCTATTTGCTTGGCATCTTCCTCACTTCCTACTGCTATCTTGTGATATTAAAAGGTCCAAGGTAGATCTGAGTGTGTGTCTTTACTCTGGAAAGTTTCTCTTCCCACAGAATGGGTCATGGAGGTTGACTTTTGATTCCAGCATGCAGATGTCACAGACAGTTTAGTGCCTGGTTTCTCAGTGATAGGAGCTGTTTAGAGTGGCTGAATTCTAAAAACAGCGTCTCTTCTTACAAGACTTCAGGGCTCACACCCCAAGTCAGACAAGACATAAAATTTCCAAAGCCACAAAGCTATAGCAGCCATATCATCTTTTTTGATGAGGCTTGCATCTGGCTCTTCTCTGTCTTGAGTTCAATCTGCTTTATTCCTCATGGTCCTATTTCTGACTAGGGTTGGAATGAGCCCTGAGCAAGCCCTTAGTCTTACTAGACTGTATAAATAGATATCTATCCTCATTTTTTAGATTTTAAGAGAGAAATTTTACAACTTGTAGTATTCCCTAGTCTCATGCCAAGAAGTGGTTCTGATTATCTATCCTTAGACTGATTAATGAAGAATTTATTACCCTTCTTATGATATATGTTTTCAATAACTAAGCCTTGAGAGGAGAGGTATCTACATCTGAAATGGATAAATTCCTGCCTCCAACTCCAGCAGTTGCCTTCTCCTCTCTTCCCCTAGCCCCTGACTCCATTTGACTTACTTTTAAGGAGAGGAGTGGTGCTCAGAGAAGACCCTTTCACTCCCTCTTTCATTTCAAAGTTCTAACAGTCCTCTTCTTCAAAAGCAGTTTTGGTTTCCTCTGTCGAGGCTAACTAATTCTGCATCCATTTTTCTTTAGCAATCTACCTTCTCAGGCTTTTAACTATGATTTCATTGCCTTTCCAAGTGCTTAACCTGACTCATTTTTAAGAACCCTAGAGACTTGTGAAAGAACTGATTATAGTACTGAGAATGTGATAGGAAAATACCACCTATGGAAAAATATGAGCAGACAATTCATAAAAGACAAAGTATGAATTATCAGTAATATTTTTTTAAAGTTCACTATCATTTAATTGGTATATATAATATACCAATTATAAAGCAGTGAGGTGCTGCAGCTTCTGCTATCAGCTTGGTAAAGATGGAAATAACCCAGTGCCTCAGGCTTGGTGAAGGGATCAGAAAAAGGACACACTCTGGTCCTGCTCATGGGAACATTATTAGTACAGTTCTTGGGGTGGACAGCGTGGTCTTTGAGATTTTTACTTCCTTATTGATTTAGCAGTTCCTTTCTAATACTTTATCTCTATGAAGACATGAGTATGCTTAAATATTCATTGAACAATCAGTTTATATAGGAAAAGAATGAAAGAGTATTTGTTTAAAACTCAACAGTGGAGCTTCCCTGGTGATCCAGAGGTTAAGAATCTCCCTTGCAAATGCAAGAGACACTGGTTTGATCCCTATTTAGGGAAGATCCCGCATGCTGCAGAGCAACGAAGCTTGTGAGCCCCAACTACTGAGCTTGTGCTCTGGAGCCTGGGAGCCACAACTGCCGAAGCCCACGTGCC